GGATAAACATAATCAAATAAAGAATGAACATCTCATTTTAAAATATAAAAAATCTAAGATATAATTAGAATAATTACCGAGTTCTAACAAAATAAATAATTATTATTTTTATGAAAAAATTATATTATTAAACCAAATATAAATTACTTCGTTATTGTATATAAATTAAATTTTAAAAAAATTGAATTAAAAAATTACACAAAAAATGAGAAATTTCAAATAGTTAATTTGATACTAATATCCATATAGTTTTGTCAAATTTTTATGATATCTTCAAACATATATTTTATTCAAAAATAAAAACATCATCGTTTTCTCAAAATCACATAAAGTCATATTATAACATCAGCTGAGATAAAGAATATAATTAAATATTAAAATCACGATGTATCTCGTTGCATTATGCGAGTACACTTCTAGTATGTTTCAAATAAGAATGTCAAATATCACAAGAAAATAAGAATAAAGATTAAGGGGAAATCTATAAATGAATCATTGAAAAAATCCCCAATAAATCTATTTGAATATGGATACGTACACTCACGTTATAAATTATTCATATAGGTTCACTGTTCAAATATGTATCTTCAAATAAATTTTTTCAATAGTTCACAAATGGATTTTCATCTTTTAGGGGGTGTTCAGTTCGTAGATTCTGATGGAATCTGATGGAATTGGAATGCTGAATTTCATTGACCAAATTTCATTCCCTTGTTTGGTTCATTCTTTTTTTTAAAGAATCTTCAAGATTCTAACAAATTTCACAAATAAAGAAATTTAACATTCCTTGGCAACTATATGGTATTTTGATGGAATGAAATTCTTTATTTTCATAATATCAAATATGTTCTTAACCCATTATACCATAATCTCATAAAACCAAATATGACCATCGTCGACTACCTTCGACCACCGTCGATCTGAATCATCATCGACCACTGCCATTTGAACCACCTCTGACCACCACCCATTTAAACCACCGTTGACCTGAACCACCACGACCACTACCGATCTGAACCACCGTCAACCACCGTCGGTTTGAACCACTACCGATCTGATCCACCGTCGATCTAAACCACCTCTGATCACGGCCATCTGAACCACCGATCTGAACCACTATCGACCATCTCCATCTGAACCACCACAAACCACCATCGATCTGAACCACAGCCAACTACTATCGATCTGAATCATCGTCGGCCACCGTCGATCTGAACCACCGTCGACCATCACCATTCTGAACAACCACAGATCTGATCCATCGACGATCTAGACCACCCCCGATCTGAACCATCGCCAATTTGAACCACATCTGACCAAATCTTCTAAACCTGCTAAATCTGGATGTTCAACTGCCAGATCTTCTATTAACTCAAGTTCTTTATATGTGGTAGATATGAAAACCATTGGCATGGTATGGAGAAAGAAAGATCACTTGCATAAGAAAAACGCAAGTATTTCCAAAAATAGCTCTTCTGTAAAGAATTCGAATGTAAAGCCTGATAGTTGTAAATGTACTCAAATTGCTAAGAAATATGTAATCTGAATTCTGATTTGAAGAAATCAAAACATTTTTCACATTCAGATATATTGCTTTTAGTGCCAAAACATTTGCATTACAACTATTGTGGTTGTAATTCTTTCGTCATCAATGTCAAGTGCAAAAGGCAAATCAAATCCAAGAAGTCCAAATATTTATCAGATTCGTCACATAAAATCAAACCTACTAATGCGTCAAGTGCTCAAAAAAAATTCAAAAGAAAAAAAATTCAAAGGAAAGATGAACTATATTTCGTTGATGTCAAATTGTTTGGAAATGGATTCCTAAACAAAGATATGAATGGCGTGTTAAAACTATCTCTACTAACTTTATAGATGTTAATCCGAAAGGACCCATTGTGAAATTGGTACCTGAGTCTAAGTGATTATTTTTGCAAGACTGTCATGTGTAGTACATTGATTCTAGATGCTCAAGACACATGACAAGATGCAGACACTTTCTGATGGGCTTCAAAGAAAAACCTAGTGGAACAGTTACTTTTGGCAATAAACAGAAAGGTTATATAAGGGGATATGTCACGTTATCGAATGGCATTGTGACGATCAAAAAGGTGTTATACGTTGAAGGACTAGAACATAATATTTTTAGTATCAGTCATTTCTCCGATGGTGGATTTAATGTCAGATTTTTTTGTTAAAGGTTGTGCCATAGATGATTCTGATGGAGTTGAAGTTATTAGAGCTAAACGTTACGGTAACCTATATGTTGTGAATTTTTCAACTCTAATTGCTTCTCGGCCTTTTTTTTCCAAGACGTCAAAAGAAGACAGTTGGATGTGGCATCGAAAGTTATCACATCAGAACTTCAACGACATAAACAAAACTCGTAAGCATAAATCTTGTCATAGGTCTATCAGAATTGCGGTTTGACAAAGATTCATTATGCTCAGCATGTGAAATGGAAAAAATGGCAAGAAGTTCCCACAAAGCAAAGATTGAATCTTCATGCAAATCACATTTGGAAATGATTCACATGGATTTATGTGGGGCAATGTGAACTCAATCGATGGATGGCAAAAAGTATATACTGGTGATGGTCGATGAATATTCCAGATACATGTGGCTAGAATTTTTGAGAGCCAAGTCTAATGCGCCTAAGCTGATAATTGCATTCATCAAGCGTATTCAAGTTCTTCTATAACTATGCAGAAAATCAGAAGTGACAATGTCACTGAGTTTAAGAACGAGACTCTTCATAATTATTTACATTTAGTTGGGATTTCTCATAATTTTCAGCCGTTCGAACTCCGCAACAAAATGGAGTTGTTGAAAGAAGAAATTGGACTTTGGTTGAAGCAGCTAGAATAATGCTTGCTTACTAGGGCCTACCTATGCATTTGTGGGCGAAAAGCAGTTTCAACTGCTTGCTTCACGTAAAATAAAACGATTATTGTCAAGCGTTTAAACAAAATGCTTATGAGATTATAAATAAACGAAAGCCTAATATAAAATTCTTTCGTGTTTTTGGCTGCAGATACTTCGTGTTAAACTATAGAGACAATAATGGAGAGTTTGATATGAAAACAGATGAAGGGTACTTTCATGGATATTCTATCACATCAAAGGCCTTCAGAATCTACATCAAACAAACCAAAACTTTAATTAAATGCATCAATGTGAGATTTGATGAATCATGAACTGCTGAATAGTAAAGTTCAGGACTCAAGCTATAATCGTCGATTTCTAGACAACACAGTTCAGGACTCAACCTACAATCGTCAGCTTCTATACAAGATAGTGTAGAACCTGCAATACGAAACAAGACAATGGATCCTGATTATTCTTTTAAATCAAATTTATTTTCATTGTTTAAATACGTTTTTGATTTAGCCTTGGATGTTTATGCAGAATATTAAATTTCAGATGCATCCAAAGTTAACAATTCAGTGGTTTCGATTCCGCAAGTTACTCAACTTTTTGGACCATCTGAAGCTGATCAACTGATGTTCAACCTGAAGTTGTTCAAGCTCAAGAACCGACTCAATCTGATATTGTTCAATCTGCTGAAGTTGTTCAATCTAAGTCTTCTCAACCTGAAATTGATGCTGAACATTCAGAAATTCAAGTTGTAACTGATGTGTATGATGATCATAATAATTAAATTGATGTACAACCCTTACCTTGTACACACAAATGGACAAAAGATCACCCCCTAAATCAAATAATTAGAGACGTAAATTCCAAAGTGCAAACACGATCTGCACCCGCAAATGAGTGTCTATTCGTAAGCTTTTGGAGTGTGAGAGCGAAAGAAGACATCTAAAGCATTACAAGATCTTGACTGGATTAATGCGATACAAGATGAACTTCAAGAGTTTGAAAGAAACAAAGTTTAGATACTCGTTCCAAGACCAAAAAATAAATCAATAATCGGTACAAAATGGTTATTTTGAAACAAAAAGGATGCAATGGAAATTGTAGTTCGAAACAAAGCCAGACTGGTCGCAAAAGGTTACTCTCAACAAGAAGGTATCGACTATGGTGAGAACTTTGCTCCAGTTGCTCTAATTTAGGCTATTAAAATATTTTTAGCATACACAGCTCACAAGAACTTGAAGACCTATCAAATGAACGTCAAGTCAGCATTTCTAAATGGAATTCTCCATGAAGAAGTATATGTGAGTCAGCATGAAGGTTTTGTTGATCCTCAAAAGACAGATCATGTCTATGTCCTAGACAAGGAACTTTACGGACTTAAGCAAACACCTAGGACATGATATGACACTTTGACCCAATTTCTATTGAAATCCGGTTTCAAGAAAGATATGATAAATACGACGTTATTTAAAAAAAACAAAAGCTTAAATAGTTTAATTATCTGCTAGCCTGACTTAACCATAAGATTGTTAAGATTGACCATACAACGTTATTATCTGCTAGCCTGACTTAACCATAAGATTGACAAACATATGACAATTTTTTTTATATGTAAGTAGTCCGCTTGTCAAAGGGAACCGGTAAGTTTTCATTTTTTTATCGCCATGTAGTCTGCCCGAAAGTTTTCATCCCATGTAGGGTTACTGTTTTCCATCGCCAAGAGAGTTGGTCAAAATTTCACATCCCAAACGATTTAAGATTGTAAAAAACTTCAAAGACGACGAGTCCATTTTAAGGATAATCGTTATCTGTTTGTGCCTTTAGGCTGGTCAGTCTGTAGATGATGAAAATGGCGACTCTTGCCGGAATTGGGATCGGCACTGGGACTCGATTGGTTGTCCCACAATCAAAATTCATACTCCGTCATTCGTCCTCACAAACCTGCAACACTTTTACCAGCATCTCTCTTGTTCCAAAGCGTACTTTCTCAATCTCTGCCTCATTTTCAGAGGATAGCAATACCCTCAAAGACCAACAGGTCCGTGTCCGTTTCGCCCCTTCTCCCACCGGTAATCTTCATGTCGGTGGCGCCAGAACTGCTCTTTTCAACTACCTCTACGCTAGGTTGGTTTTCGTTTCTCCTCCTTAACTTGATATGAAAATCCTCTACTTCTATAACGACCAAGTTTAATTGGAACAGGTCTAAAGGTGGGAAGTTTATACTGAGGATAGAGGACACGGACCTGGAGAGATCAACAAAGGAATCAGAGGAAGCTGTGTTGCGGGACCTTTCTTGGCTGGGTCTTGAATGGGATGAAGGTTGGAAAATCCCTCCCCTTCTCTTTGCTCCAAAATTGGAGTCAGTTTCAAAAGGATTAAGTTTTAGCTTCAGAAATATGCAAGAATTGTTAGGGTTATGGAGAAAAATCAACAACTACGTGAACCAATAAAATTTTTATGCCATTAGAAGAATTTTGAGATGAAAAACTAAAAGGATAAATAGAAGTTCTGAATTTGAAAACTACAAGGCATTTTCAATATGTCTGATTCACAATGTTATGCACTCTGGATCTTTTCCAGAAGAAAAAATAAAGTAAACAAGCACCTGTATAAGATCTTGATGAATTATTGTTATCCTATATCTACCGTGAGAAAACTTAAGGTTCTACCCACTTCCCTTTAGAAAACACCTACACGTCTTTGGTCTTCTTCAATCATCTAGTCAGGTACTCAATCCCTCAAGAGAAAGGAGGATTGGATCAAGTACTTGTGCCATCTGATTTACTATCATTTAGTTCACTATTACCATTCTTTTGTAAATTTATTAGTGCGAATTCCTTTCTTTTCCTTTTGCATTGTGTTCTTTGGTTCAACACCCCCTGTCCTAGTGGGTTGTGCAGCTGCTTCTTTTAGGCTAGCAGTGACAACAGGGGTTGGATCAGGTATGAGAGCTTAAAGAGGGGAAGGGGGGTTGGGAAGGTTTCTAGACAAGTAATTGATCTTTTTCGTAGGAATGCTATGTGTTTGAATCCTTATTTCAAGAGAATGGGCCTACATCTAAAAAAATCAGCTGTGAGAATTAGGAGTCTTAAATCCATTTCTATGTTGGTACTTGATTATGTTCTCATTTCCATATCATTTCATTTCTATGATTGTAAGTAAGTAAAATCACTCTTCAATCTTGTCCTTCTCTTTCACCATTCCATTTTACTTTCACGTTTGTTATCTTGGTCGCTTGGTTTTAGTTTTTTAGGTAATCAGTGGTATAACTTTTTTGTATATTTGTGTGGTTCCTATCTCGAGTCAATTTAACAATATAAGCTTAGGTTGCAATTAGGGAAGATACTCACCTTGTTGGTGCTTTAAATCTCCAGGTTTTTCTTGTTAGCTGTGTTGATTATTAATTTACAGATGAGGTTTCCATATTTAAAGCAAACTATAGTGTTTCTATGAATACTTTTTGGCCTATCCCTGGATCAAAAGATATTGTAATAAATTTGAACTCTGGTGCAACCTTTGATGTTGATTATCTAGGCCCTGAAGTTGGTGGTGGTTATGGTCCATATCGGCAGTCAGAAAGGAATGACCTGTACAAACAATATGCTGAGAAGCTTCTACAATCTGGTCAAGTTTATCGTTGCTTTTGCTCAAATGAGGTAAGCATCCTCAACCTCTTGGGATGGATATATGAGGGATGTGAATGTTGAATATCTTCATATCTATGGATGTGCTGGTAGCGAAAGAAAATTATTGTTCTGAACTATAAGGTTATTTTTCATTGTGTATTCTATTTCATGAACCGTAGAACTAACAAGTGGTTGACAGTGGAAAGAAAAAATACTTATGCAAACCCTTAATCAAGATACATAAGTCATAAATATGAATCATGTAATTAATTTTTGGACTTTGAATGCATACTTTTTATAAAATTATAGCAAATGGCTAGCCCAAGGGCTGAGTTGGTATTTTGATTTTCTCACCCACCATATTATGGTTTCTATCTATTAGCAATTTCTTATTGTTATTTTGAAAATTGCATTCATATTTTAAGTTTATAGAGAAATTATGTTGTGGTTCTCATTGAATAACAAAGGAGTATAAGTATAGCTTAGAAGCCTAACTATAATCCCATTATTAAAGGAATTTGATAACATACAAGGAAACCATCCAACTATACAACTATCAATCAAATTTGTTACCAACTATACAGATATCCAAATCTGTAACAAAAGGAAAATATAATCCCACGAAATCAGGGATTATCTTTTGTATATCAATTCCACGCTCCCCCTCAAGTTGGTGCATATATATCATACATGCCCAACTTGTCTATAAGACAATCAAATGGCGATCTGAATAGCCCTTTGGTCAAGATATCTGTTATTTGCTCTTTGGATGGAATGAATGCAATGCAAATATACCCATTGTCCAACTTTTCCCTTATGAAGTGTCAATCCACTTTAATGTGTTTTGACATGTTGTGCTGGACTGGAATTTGTGAGATGCTAATGGCTGCATTATTACCCGCAAAACAGTTTCGTAGGACCGTAAGTGAGCAAAGATCCTTTTGATCCAGATAATATAACATATGCCATCTGCCATTGACCCGTTTGATCTGATTGTTTTACATATGCCATCAGCTTCTGATACAACACTTTGTTTCTTGCTTCTCCATGTGACAAGATTTCCCATACATAAGTACAATATCCCGATGTAGATCTTCTGCTTATGTTTGGTCTACCCAACTTGCATCAGTAAAGGCTCCAATGGTTCGATTCTCTCCTTTTTAAAGAGTAGTCCTTTGCGTGTATAACTTTTTAAACATATAAGAATTATGTGGACAACTTCTAGATGTCCTTGGTAAGGATGATGCATAAATTGACTCACCATGCTAATTGCAAAAGCATATGTGATAAATAGATCAGCCTTCCAACCAGCCATTGATATTGATGAATATCAACCAGTTTTTCATCAGTAATACCATCCTACCTTTTGTTAGGGTCAATTGGGGTATTTATTGGTCGGCATGCACTCATTCTAGTATCTCCTAGAAGATCCATAATGTATCTCTTTTGTGACAAGACAATACATTTACTTGACCTTGCAACCTCTATCCATAACTTATCTCCAAATATTTTTGCAAGCCGGTGAAGAGATTATGTTTTTTTTCATCTTGGACGTCCCTTGTTGGTTGGATTTGTTGCTTGTTTTCAATTTTTTTTTGATTATGGGTCGCCAATACTTGTGATTGATTAACCTTAGTAAGTTGGATAAGCTTTTTCAACTTTGATCATTATATCAATGTTGATGGATTGTATGCCGTTTTGTGCTCCCCCTAATTCTTAATCTTGCCGCCCCTGCCTGAGTCTAACAATATGTTAATTTTTCGATCTTTCGCTTGCATACATGGTTTTGTGATTTGTGGTTTCAATTCTAGGTATTAGCTAGAAGCAGCGATCATTGTTATACCCTTATGATCATATTTACTATTTCCGTCTCTCTAAACTAGTTAATTTGCTTTACAATCAAACTTTTCTTTATACTTCTTTTGGTATTTTAGCCTCCTTTATCTTCGAAGAATAATTTCAGTTTTAATGTGATGGTTTTTTTACCTTTTGGTTGGTATCATGGTATGTTAAATCCTGTGAAATCATTTAGGAACTTGAGCAAATGAAGGAGATGGCAAAAGAAAAGCAGCTACCTCCTGTATATTCTGGAAAGTGGGCCCAAGCTACAGATGAGGAAGTTCAAGAAGAGTTAGCGAAGGGAACCCCATGTACTTACAGATTCCGAGTGCCTAAGGAAGGGAGTTTGAAAATCAATGACTTGATTAGAGGAGAGGTAATTCATTTGTGTACAAACTTAATTTGATCAGCTATAAGATGTTGAAAATCAAATGTGTTACATTCTTCCTCTAACTCTAAAATATATTGCAAAAGTTATGTCATGATATTTCATTACCACCTCTATTAATTTCTGCTGAATTTGGAACTTCCAGAAATATATGCCAATCAACTAATTTTGGCATTATAAAGTAGGTAAAATGCAAAATCAAGAACTAGGTTGTTCGTTTTTTGTGCTTCTATGTTACATATTTTCATGCCTTATATGGCAGAATTTGGTTCATGATTGATGCTCTCATTTTGAAATTTGTAAAAGCAAGTGTTTGGTTAGAGGTATTAAGCAGTAATTAATGAGAATGAAAATAAGAGAAAGTGTTTGTTTTTTTATAATATAATGGGTCCATTCCTTCAGAAGCCCAAATTTTTATTCCGGGTTAAACTGAGGGGAATGAAAATTCATTCCCTGTCATTTTCATTTTCATACCCATTTTCATTCTTCTGCCTGAACCAAACGCCCCCTTAGTTTTGTTTTTTTATTTTATATTGGATTCCACCTTTTAGTTGCCTTATAAATAATCAGCTTAGCACTGTACTTTTTCACGTTGTCTTCTTGGCTGAAGTAAAACCGCTGAATGTATTTATGGTGTTACCTTTGTATGTTGATGGAAATATTATTAAGATTGGATTGTCACTAGTACTTAATAGCATGTATCATGCAGCCAGAAATGTATTTTGCTAGAGTATACTGAAGTATTTAATTTTTTCAAGTATGCTGGTCTGTGTGGTTGACATGCAGATTACTTCTCTGAAAATGGCTCCATCCTAGATATATGGTTATTCTTCTTGTAGTTAGCTGTTGATATTTGGATAATGTTGTGTAGGTCAGCTGGAATCTAGATACACTTGGGGATTTCGTAATTATGAGAAGTAATGGACAACCAGTGTATAATTTTTGTGTCACAGTTGATGATGCTACTATGGCTATCTCACACGTTATAAGGTAATCTAATGACCATGTATCATGAAACTTCTGTTTCTTTTTTACTTAACAGTTGTAGACTTCATTGCATCATAATCATTAACATCATTATCTGATATGTTGTTAAACACTTGGCTTCAGAGCCGAAGAGCACTTACCTAATACACTAAGGCAAGCATTGATATACAAGGTAGCTTTTCTACTTTGCTGATTTTTTATTGTCAACAAACTTGCTCCTGGCTTACGATCACTCTTTTCATTATGTGTTATTTTGTCATAGGCTCTGCGGTTCCCGATGCCTACTTTTGCACATGTTTCGTTGATTCTTGCCCCTGATCGCAGCAAACTGTCAAAACGACATGGTGCAACTTCAGTAGGGCAGGTAGATGCCAATTTTAAATTTCAATTTTTTTACTTATTTATTTTTAAAACCAAGGTTCAAATTCACTCTGCCTGTTTCCTAATTTATTTGGGATATCGAAGACAAATGGCGATGTTTTCATGGCTGTCCTCTTCTCACCAGTATTATGGCCTATGGGCCACCCTTGTTCTTTTTGCATGATTGCTCTCATGACTTCTCAACACAAGAAGGATTAATATTTTTTATAGAAGATGTCGACGTTTGTTTCTGTGCGGATAAAGTAAATATTATCAGTTCTTGGGACCAGGGGATTACTGCCTGCATGTACTTATTTTTATTGCTTTCTTTTTTCATGATTAATAACTTATGATCTTAACAGTATAAGGATATGGGGTATTTGCCTCAAGCAATTGTTAATTATCTAGCATTGTTGGGTTGGAGTGATGGGACTAATGCTGAATTCTTTACACTGGAACAACTGGGTTAGTACATCTAATCTACTGTTATGCACATAATATGTAGCTGATGATATCATTTGATTGGAGTTCCCCTCCGTAATCTTTATCTGTTTTTCTTGGGTTTCAGTTGAAAAATTCTCGATTAACCGCGTCAACAATAGTGGAGCCATATTTGATTCAACCAAATTGAGGTGACATACTGTGTTCCTTAGTTCCTAATATTGCATGTATGTGACTGCGGTTGTAGCTGTTTTATGCAACATAACTTAACCAACGGAGACTAGTCATTTGTCTGTATATCTATCAGTAATACAGCAAATCATTTGAAATAAACAGTTCTAAAATAATCTTGGAATAGTCAAGAGACTATTGTTCTAGTTCTAACTTGGTTGATTTTTTCATCATATGTCCTTAATCACATGGGGTTTGCATGTTGATTTTTCCTGGTGATTTTATTTTCTTCCAGAAAGTGTCGATCTCCAAATATTCTTAACTATAGCACTTCTCAAAAACATTAGGTGGATGAATGGCCAACATTTGAAAGCTCTTCCCACAGAAGAGTTGATAAAAACCGTTGGTGAGCAATGGAAGAGTGCGGGGATCCTAAATGAATCGGAAGGCCTATTTATAGAAGTAAGAGTTCTATTTTCAAATATTCTCTTTATGTCGTTGTGCAATGAGAATGTCAATTGCTTTCCCTGACGACTTGTTGATTGTAGTTTTATTCATATGACTACGGGATCATCAAGCTTGTGCATCTCAACATGCATGTGTGTCTAACGAAGCATCATATTATGGTGTTTCTCTTTTTGCTCAACAAAAATTCATTGAGAATGCTTAAGCTACAAGCCACTTGATTGTAACGAAAAGCCCTTTACCATCAGCAGATTACATACACAATATCTTTGAGATGATCAGATGAACATATATACCAGTAGAATTGACACTTTAAGATTTGGATTGTCACTTGAAACTTGAGAGGTTATGAGATGTATAGAAGGTTAGATACCAAGGAAGGAGAGATTGGAATATATAGGTTGACAAAAGCCAGGGAGTGGAGACGTCAAGACTTAGGAAACGTAGAGGTGTATTGAGAATGAGAATGAACAGGTCTCAGAAAAGGATGCAGACAATAAGGGGAGATGTTGTAGGAACTTTCATATGCTATTTAGCAAGGGAAAGGGAAAGGGAGGGGAAGGTAGAGGGAGTAAGAGGACATCACAGGCCACACAATCTTTTTTCTGTCGGCAAATTAGCATAGAGGAAGTGGATGGGGCACTAAAGAAGATGGGGAAGGGTAACCAGATCCCCATTGAAGTGTGGCTGTGTCTGGGGAGGTGGGGGATGCAATGATTGCCTGAGTTCTTCAACATCACACTTGGGATTATCCAGATGCCTAAATAATAGAGGCTTAGTGTGGTGGTGCCGCTCTATAGGAACAAAGGTAACACACAACGGGTGGGATATACCGGGCTTCTTTGGTTACCTGAAATTCGAGAGGTGGCAATTTAAGATTAGCAGCAGCCTGAAACTACAGTCGACACTAACCAAAGGAAATGCAAATGTGAGGAATCCCTTTGTGGTTCACCTTGTTCAATAATCAGAAATTATGTTATAACCTGAGTACCTACTCAAATTGAACATGATTTATATAACAAAAGGATAGAAGCTTCAGCTTGATACACCAGCGAAGTAGGRTGGTGACGGAACTTGATGAGATGCTTATGCATCACTGGTTTAACCTCTGTATGACCATGACATAACCGACACCAAGTAATCCTGTTAAAATGCCTATTATTACTTGGCAGTTGGCACATGGAGAATTTTTTTTTTAAACCCTTACGGGCCACAAGATAACATCTGAAAAACATATTAGTGGCTTAATAACAGACTTGAATAGGTACTCTCCAGGAGATGTTATGATTGCTAGAAGCTTTGAATGATGCCTTGAGATTATAAACTTGTTTGAGGCGACTCTGTACATACTCGAAGTGTGTATATTTAGGTGACTAGATTATTGGGAAAACGAGGTGTCAAGGATGCCAGAGAAAGGAAATCTGGAAAAGGAGAGACATGAAAGGCTAGAAAAGGAATGTTAGAAGAACCATCAGAAAGAGGAAGGGTGGAGAGGACAAAAGGCAGAAAAGGTATGGGAGTATGCCAAAAGTACCTACTGGAAACTTTGCCAAATTCAATGCCAGAGGAATAGAACAAAGAGGATGCAGATGCCAAACAATCAACCCACTGAGGATACCTATTGCTCTGTAGTCCAACCACACATTGAAATTTGGAGAAACCACAAACACAGCACACAAATAGCTGGAAGGAACACTCAGTTAAATCTCACCTATCAGTATCATCACATCAAGCATAATCATGAACTACCAATCGACCACACAACTGAAACCTGAACCTAGTAGCTTGCAAACTGAACTCCCAAAAGTGGTTTCAGACTATAATAAAAGAATGCTACTTAATACTTACCACACTCTTTGCAAGGCTATCAGCTATATTTATCTGCATGCTTGATATTTCAGATGAGTCGGTCAATCATAGCCTAGTTGGAGATCCATGATGAGCTTGTTTCTCTGAAGTGCTAGATTTTCTGCTCAGCCTGGTTTCTAGAAGAAGTCTGGCTTGATAATTGGAAGTTGGAACATTCAGGTGAAGGTGTAAGCATTTTGTAGACAGAAAAAACTAAATTATTGAACTCCCAGGATGACATGGTTGATACTTGTGATGGTTCTGAAGGATTCAGTATGAATGCTTCATTGAGCTCTACATTGTAGCTGTATGCGATTGGATCGTCACTGCATCAGTTTGTTTCTGGAACATTGACGTAGCAAAGAGACCACATTTCTCGGCTTTAAGGACCTTCCAACATCCATGCTTTTTTGTATTTCTAGATGAACATCAATGATGCATCACCATATATTGTAGAAAGATTGATTGTGCCCTACAATCTATTGGTTTACCCTCTACTTCCAATCGCCATCTTCAGTCAGTCCAGAAGAAGATGACTGGTTCTATTTCTTGGTACTAAAGGCATTGGTCATCACTGCTAAATAGAATGCCTCTGTCTGGAAAACATTTTTTTTTGGGAGAAAAGGGGATGGAACCCTAGGAAACCTTTATTCAAAAAAGAAAATGGAGCTACAAATTACGAGGGGCATAACCCAAGAATAACAACATGCCTACCAAGGAAGTGTTTAGGGAAAACACTCGACAATGGTCTAACTCTAAACCCAACTCTAGAGTTAAAAACCCAATTTCCACATAAATGACCACCCAAAAAATTATCAAAACATAAMAACTTGAAAAAGCCCAAGTGGAAATGTCCAATATCGGTGGTGGAGAACCCGTCATCATGGCCCAAGAAAGTGGAAAGGAGACAGGCCCAATCTTCAAAATTGATTAAATACTTGAGGTCCACCATAAATTGGGCAGCAACTTCAAAAGCACAATTGTGAGTGGGTAATCCAAAGCCAATGGCAGCTGACGATGGAGATTGCAATTGAGGTCCAAGCGACCTTGCCAAGAGCCCAAATCGCACATATAGGTCGCATAAGCAGAAAGYTGATCATCAGAGAAAGCACAGACTTTTTCCAAAATTTTCCAATCTCCACTCAACTTATTTCCAAACTCTTTCCACCAAACCTCAAACTTTTTTGCCCCATAAAAATCATCTTTAATATCTAAAAATCCTCTAAACCTCCAATCACCATTAATGTCACTTCTACAGATCAACCTCCTTATAATTAGAACACAACAGATGTCAAGCCTAGTATTCCAAAATTTTAGATTTCTGCTATGTGACCAGCAGCCCAATATCTCAAAAATATTCCACCTTATTTCTCCCAAATAGCATAACTAAAACTGCACCAGCTCATGGTAATCTTGCTGGAACCCCAAGGCATAAACCAGAAACTTATCAGGAACATCCTACATTTTCACCATCCATATAATACATTAAAAACTGATCAGAAACATCCTAAAGGTGATAATTAGTCTATAATAAACTTCAAAGCAAACCCAGGGATGAGACCAGAAAGAAATCTTCACAGCAACCAAAAAGTATATTGCAATTTGGCCTATGGTCATTGCAATAATAAACCAACTAGAGCTGTCCCAAAGAAATACTCCTAACCAGCAGCCAAATCTTCTTTGCAGCTTCAGATTGAGAAAACAGCAGTAAACAGATCTGACCAGGAGCAATACCAAAACAGCACCTGAATAAGGACACCCCATTGCACCTTATACAGCCATAAAGAACTCTCAACTCTATAATTTTTTAAGAACAATCGTATTAACATGTGGAAGCTGTCCATATCAGCAGCAAACAGACTATAAGCCAACATAAACAATATCAGATCAGCAACTGATTTGATCTGCATCTTGAATAAATGGATATAACAACCCCAGGGCTTGCAGAATCTAAATTTCTGCATCTGTTTTGACCATTCACATATAGCATCCAGGATGAACATTAGAAACAGACCCAAAGGAGCAGTAGCCAAATTACGTTTGTTCATAAAAACAGCAGCCACATCAATAGCATTTGGAACAGAAGACATAACCAACTTTTCCCTGACAGCTTCTGATAGATGTAAACCATAAAAGGAACAAACAGATCCAATAAGACCCCCACCTTTAAACTCCTGCAGCTGCTATTAACACCCCAGTGCCACCAGATTAGCAGCCAAAGAACAGCAGCATTAATGATAACCAGCACCTGTCCTGATCAGTCCAATAACCAGATAAAATACACTATTAAACAACTGGGAGAAGGAACCAGCACGGAGTCCAAAGAAGGACCTGATTCTGTCTGGAGAACATTTGTATGTGGTTGCTGTGTCTAGTGATGGTAGCGATTAATAGCCTGCAATTTGATAGAAAATGCTCTGATGTTGGACCGAGAGCTTACTGAAAGTGCATATTGAATTCATTATGCATGTTAATGGTTCATCAAGTGGAAGTACAACGAGAAATTTAACCCCAAGGTCCTTTACCAATAACATGCATTGTGTTTTGTGTTTTTTTCTCAATGCTGTTCCATTTGATAATTATTGTGATTGTTTCTTGCATACAGGATGCTTTTAAACTCCTGGAGGGTGGGATTGACGTGATAACCGATGCAGAAAAATTACTTTCAGACTTGCTATCTTACCCTTTGCATGCTACTCTATTAAGGTTAATTGCTAAACTTTCTGCCATATCGGATCAATATAATGTTGATATTCATGGATCATCTTATTATCTCATAAAAAGAAATTGTGTTCACTATTCATCAACATGATAGCAATCTTTTTTTGTCATTTTCCAATGCGAACATGTTTGATGTTACCTTTTGATAATTATATTTATTTTATAGCGAGAAGATTTGTCAGGATTGATATATGAATTAAGATGAATCGATGAAATAGAGAAGAAGAATCTACCTGTATGTATTCACAGTTTCTTCATTACATTTACACGGAAGAGAAGGATGATGGGTTACGAGATCTAAATAAACAGTGGAAGCAAACCATGACCTAAATCGAGGATCCAATCGGAACAGAATAAATCAAGTGATAAATAACCATGACCTTTGATGATAAAATCAAATCTTTATGATGATTGAATCTGGAAGTTGAAAACTTTAAGCTTCTAGCCTCCAACTATATTCATACAAGCACTTGGATCATCGAATCCTAGGAAAGTTTAGACCCCATTAGGTGCGAGTTGTCACTTCATAAGAGAGAAACTCAGCAAAGGTTTCACTTTTAGCCGTAAAACCCTAACCAGTTGGGGCTTTGAATTGCAAGGAAGAACGAGATGAGAAGCCAGAGGTGGATTAGGATAAAAGTAAATTCTTTTGAAATTAGTTGTATTTCATTTAATAATGTTCCTCTCTTATGAACCAAACCTTTATTACCTCCTCTTGGACCTATGGCGAAGCATATATGTTCCCACGAACCATACTTGGACAATGTTGTTGCATGAAAATGCAACAGAAACACGTAGAAATGTTGTTGCAGCAAAAACTATGTTGTAGTGATGCTGCAACTTCCTTATCTCTTATAAAACCTTTAGACTATCATAATCTATTTATTCTAGCCCAAGTAACCACTACCTTTGCTAATTAATTCCTTGTCCAAGGTAGCGTGCGACCCTTTGGGTTCTCGTCACGTTGATAATAATAATAATAATGAATCCTATTCATTATTATAATTAATAGCAGTATCTAGCAACACTTCATCACTACCCAAGTTACGGAAGTTAACTAATTCAACAAAATCAGAAATTTGTATGGTCATCATAGTGTAAAAATGTGTCCCTTTATCCTAGATGCACAATGGTTTGTGTCAATTTTTGTTTAAGTTCAATATCTTAACATAAATTGAATAACTACCATATCGATATCACATATCGGCTAACTGAGCATGTATAATTTCTCATTCTCATTCTATCAAGGGTCCGGAGGCATCACTCTTGTCATGCAAGAGGGACAAATCCAATCTCTGATAATGCCATTGGCAGTTGTAGATATTATAAAGAAAAAGGCCTAATTGAAGTAGGATGATGATGTTGTGATATGTTTTTAACTAAAATGATATTGCCATTGGCAGTTCTGAAGGTAGGGACGTCATAGAAGCTGGTCTTCCTGTGGTTGCAGACAGCTTGTTAGCAGCATACGATAGTGGTGAGCTTGTAGCTGCACTGAAAGAAGGAATACCTGGGTGGCAGAAGTGGGTGAAAGCCTTTGGGAAATCTTTAAAACGCAAGGTTAGAAGATAATATCTGTTGTGTTGGTTGTATGTTGTTTGGGGTTTGGATCATGGATTACTTATTGAAGATGTGAATGGGCAGGGGAAATCTCTGTTCATGCCCCTCCGAGTTTTGTTGACAGGAAAACTTCATGGTCCAGACATGGGAGAGAGCATAGTTTTGATCCATAGAGCTGGAACAAGTGGCATTGTGGCGCCTGAAATTGGGTTCGTGACATTGGAAGAACGGCTCAAATCATTGCGGCAAGTTGATTGGGAAGCATTTATCAAGGTGGAGTCTGCTACTGTTGCTTAGATTTGTCTTTCTGCATTCAGATTTTGTAGAATTTAGGCATCAATTCAATTCCCTTTGTTTGGTATAGTAGTTTGTATTGCATTGGGTTATTTATTTTTCTTTTTCTAAAGTCAAATGGAAGCTCTTGCTGATATATTCTTTAGCTATCAGTAATCCTATTTACAAGCAACACTCATCTCTCGAGTCAAATTTACTCTCTTTAGATGGTTATATTTTTTTCACACATTCTTCTTAATTCTCACTCCAAGATTCTTTTAATCTCTTTTACGTAACTGAATACTCAATATGTTTTGTTATTTGATACTTTTTCATATCGTCATAAGTTTTTTTTTTTACATTTTTGTTTCAGTCTACCAAATATTTTTTCAAAACAGCACCACACAATTATTCATCTTTCATCCTATGAAATGCGTTCCAAAATACTTTGTTATTGTAAACCATGGCATAAAATATCTCAAAAGTGGACAAAATAAAAATATATAGAACTTGCAAAAATGTAGTTCTAAAAAACACGTTAAAAAAAATTGCATAATAGGGTTAGATTATGTAATCTGACCTGATTGCCATCAAATTCATCAAATTGTTGTTGAAATCATTGATTTTTTTTTTAGAGAAATTGATTTCTAAAGAGGAGTTAGGAAAATAAAGGTTTTGATTAATTTTAACTTCTTTGGGAAAATGATGGGTTTTTTATTTAGAGAGGTATGCCACGTATTTTAACTTCTAAGTCGGTCAAACTTTCAAAACAACCAATGATTAAGGCAACTAAAGTCCAAAGAAAACACAAGAGACTATTGGAATGCAAAGGACGCTTGTATTGCTTGAGACCACTTTTACAAGAGAGATTAGAAGAATACTTTTAAGGCATGTTGTGCCAGATGAGGCTGCCATCTATTTATATTGCTCAAATCAACTATTTAGATATGTACAAGGAGCATTTTAGAACTATCAAGTAAAAGATTATATATAGAGGTTTTTAACACTTGTCATGGAGAGTCTTCTAGAAAGCTTCTATAAGAGCCACCATCCTTCTTGAATAGTGTAGAAGATTCCGGATTGCCGTTAACCTTCAGAAAATATGTCCCAAACTTGACGGAGCTCTCCAAAAAAAAATCAGGTATTTTGGCTTCTTTTTTGTTGACGTCTAGTACATTGAACAATCTATATCTCTATATATAATGAGGATCTTAAAAAGGATGATGTGTGAACTCGTAATGTTTAAAATCTCTCCTTTTCTCATAGATTTTTGATTTTTTAAAATATCTTAATTGAATTATATGTAATGATCAATAAATTCAGTTGGATTATGGGAGTGTGTGACTTGAACTATTGATTGGTCTGTGCATTGCCAGAATTCATGTTGTATATTTGAATGCTCCCCTACCGATGTATTTTTACATCCCACAGCTCCTGTCATCCCTACCTATTATTGCTCCTTCAGAGGGCATGAGGACGTAAAAAGAGGGATCTTATCAACTTGTTCCGATGGCCCGTTGTGCCATCAATACCTCCGTAATTGCGCTTGTTATAGACTTTTGGTCTTTTCCATCCCTATATATATAAATTATATTTTCATTAAAAATAAGGGTCCTTGTAGTAAATTTACATACCTATTGCAATTTATGTTAACTAACCATTTGTTTTCCTTTTTTATATTATTAACCATTGTTTTTCATAATTTATTACAATTTATGTAAATTAACCATTTATTCTCCATTATTTATGTTATTAACCATTCTTTTTCCTTTTTTAATTAATAATTTATTTTCTCTTTATTGTAAGTATAAGTGATTTTTTGTATTTTGTTGGCTATGAAATTGGGTTTTTCACCTTTTTGTCTTATAAATATTTACCTCTTAATTTTTCCCTCTATCATATTTTCTCTCATTAGATTTGTCTCGTTAAAAGATCAATCTAGAATATGATTTTTTTGTTTATTGTTATATTATTTGCTATTGTATTGAATTTATATGTTTTTATGTTGTAATAAGTGTCATAGAAATAAGTTTCGAAGAAAATTAAAGCTTCATCACCAAAGCATGCACTGATATCATTACATGTAACTTTTTCATTCAACTACTCCTTTTGATTTCAATTTATTTTTGATCGTCTCTTTTGTAGTTTCATGATTTATTATTCCTTAATTCTCATTTTTATATTTCTTTTTTCAGAAGCATAGCCAACAATGCTAAAAATAACATTTGAGTATTGTGTATTTTAATATTACATTGTTGATCTCTAAAAGATCGTCAATCTACACTTTTAGATTCGGTTTTTGATTTGGTATGCTTTTAGTGTTTTATCTGAGAAACTAAAATTTACGAGAATGTATATCGGCTAAAATTCTTCAAATTTTCTTTTGCGAAGTTATTTCTTTGCTTCATACAACTTAACAATTTGTTTCTTGACCTGCAATTTTTGACCCAAACTGCCTAAACAATTTAAATCAATGAATTGTTGATGAAGGAGAAAAAAGAATTCAGTGACAAACAAAAAAGGAGGTGGACTCTTGATAATCTTTTTCTTAGATTTTAAAGGCTTTTGTGTCTTGTTTTTATAAAATATACATATTTTGTTATATTTAAACGAATCTAAACAAACAATAAGGTGTGTAGAATTTTACATTTAAGATTTCTAGTAGAATCTTAGAGCCCGTTAGTTCCATTTAAATATCGATTTTTGTTACAGTATTAGAGTAAAGTGTTGCTAAGGTTTCAACGCAAAAAAGAAAGAAGAAAAACGACAAAAAATTAAGCTGTTTTGATTTTAAAAAAATCGAATCCATGGCTTACGTCGGGTCAAGAAGATAATAAACAAATTGGATCTGGGTTAAATTCCTCTGGCTGTTTGGGATTGGGCCGTTGGATTTAACTGTTTTTGGGCCTATTTATTTTATTTTTTTAAAGAAAATGGTTAGCCACCATTTCCTTGTAAATTATGTGGAGGTAATCAATGTCGAGTTCTTCATCATCGTCACATTGTGAATAAGTATCGTCGGTATCGATAGTTGGCGGCGTGCTTAGTTTCATGACGATTTCATTTTCTTCCACCGCTTCAATCTCCATCTCTAACGATGTCGTGTGTTGAATCCTATCAACGCTATCCAAATAATCTTTCAAGCAGATGCAACACTCCACGGACTCCGGGCTTAGTCTTGTCCGACGTATGGAAATGATAATGTCACTAAGAGAAAAAACAGACTTCGAAGCTACAGTACTAGCTTAGGTTGTTAGTATATCACGTGCAATGCACGCCAAAATCAGGAATTGAGGTTGTTTTTGTTTCCAAAAATCTAATAAATCATTTTTTTCTTTAAAATCTTCGACATCATTTGCGGAGCATACGACCATAAAGTTAGTATGCACATACATATTTAGTTCACCCAAATCGTTATCATATCGACTTTTTTTACTTGACTCATTTAAAAGATCATTCATTAAATTAGTCATCAACTCTTTATGACTTTGTCGATGACCACTAGAAGAAGAGCCAGAACATGCAAACCCACGACTTGAAGACCTTTGTTGTTGGTTTCATCTTCTATAAAAATGTTTGTAATGATCAAATAAATTTTGAAAATTACGATTAAACAAAAGTTTTGTTCCATTGAAAAAGAATTATCCGTAGTGGTATCTAAACCAAAAGCCATACATATTTGTGTAATTAAAACTTCAACATTGATAATATTTGAATACGGGTTTAACGCCGCAGCACAAAAAAAAACAAATGGGATGCTCATAAAATATTTCAAAATTTTCTGTTTCATTGAAGACATCAACCTTTCCCAATCTTGATGGTCTTCGTATTGGAAAATCTTACTTGCCTAAATATAGATTTGGTTTAAAACTAAATGGCTTGTTGGATAATAAATACCGGATATAAGTGTTGTCGCATTTTTAAAATCGCCTAAAATATCGTACAATCTTTCAAGCACGGTCTAATCAAGATTTCCAATAAAATTTTGCGGGTGTTGATCATCTCTCTCAGTATTTTGATAATAATTTCTTTTACCTTATACAAAGTATTTTATGTTTCTGTCTTTCAGTTCCAACGATCATCACTGAGTCTGTTCAGTGATCGCCGATAACATGTAATGTAAATCCATCAGCGACAACGATACTTCAAGAAGACAAAACTCACACCAAATAACCTTCAGCGAATGTCGAATATTGAAACTGAAGATTATAGATTGGTGAGTACGTGATCTGAAGCGGTATTCAGTGGTTACAACTTGGTCTACATATGTGTAAAAACTGCGCAAGCCTCAGCGAATGCTGAAGAGACATTCAGGTTATTCTAGCATTCAGCGATTAAAAGAAGCTTGTTGGACACGATTACTTTTGTCTTGTCCTTATACACACAAAGAACAAACTCATACCCTTTCTAAAGTATAGTACGGTACGGAGCCGATTACTTGACTCTACTACCCACCAACTTTGTGAAAGAATGTCTGCTTATGAATAGACTTTTGTACTATTCACTGTAGCAAATAACAAGTCTTTCTCTAAAGGCGATACACGTGTTCAAAACCTACTATGTTGCATTAAATGTGCATTTAATGCAATGAGTATAAATAGATTTGTTCAATCTTCATGTAAAGATACTTTCAACTAGGCGTTTGGTTCGTAGAATGGAATTCGATGGAATTGGAATTCATCAAATGAATTTGACTTTGAGGGAATGAAATTTGACCATGTCTTTTGATTGCGTTTGGTTGGATGGAATTGGAATGGAATTCTTAACGGAATTGAATTTTTTTTTTGTTTATTTCACGGAATTCAACGAGAAAATTACAGGAAAAAAAACCGAAACCGATGGTGAAAACCGAAAACCGAAACTTTCGGGCTGGGTTCGGGGACATCTTATCAGGGACAGGGCGGGGATCGGGGATTTTAACGAGGACGGGGAGGGGACAGTGATCATCGGCCTGGCCCGGCCTGATATGTGTATATATATTAATTTTAATTTATATACATATACACACACACACACATACATATATATATATATATATATAATATTATTAAAAGAAAATAGTAACATTAAAATTTAAAAAACTTTTATCCACTTTACTTCAACAACCCAAATAAGGCTCACGAAAAAATCTAATTTATTTGTCTAATTGTAAAATCGTGATTTTAGTTGTATGATGTTTGAAGTTCTGTTTAGTTTTATATTGTACTCTAATACATTCTTTGTAACTGGTTCGATTATGTTTGAGACATTTAAACTTGTATCTTTAAAAAAATTGTAATTTAATTTTAGTTGTGAAAATTAACATATTGTAATTTTTTTAGATCTGTTTCGGGTTTCAGTTACAACCAACGGTGAACGGGAAAAATAGAATTTTTACCTTAACGGGTTCCCCAACGGGGATCGGGGAAACCGCGAGGACCCGATGGGGATCGGGGCAGTCACGGGGACGATTTTAGTTATCGGTTTATGGGACGAGGATACCAATAACCGGTCCGAACCTTTCCCGTTGAATTCTTAGTTTTAAACGAGATCGAGCATAGCAGAACAGAGCAAATCGATATACATCGTTGATGAATGGATGAGGGCTAAGGAATTTGAAATCCGTGGTATACGGTGGAATTGTGAAATCAATGAATTAAAGAATTTGTTGGAATTGAAAGGATTCCTTCACATCTATTATGTGAACCAAACATGGCATTTGGAATTTGGTCAAAGATTTGGACATTCCAATTCCTTCCAATTCCACCAGATTCCATGAACCAAACACCTCATAATACTTACTCTTGAACCCTAACTCACGTTCATAAGTAAAAGAACACACATCTAAGAACACAATACGCTTTTCTTCAAAAGCAAGTTGGAATCCCTTTTTAGTATTATAAATAGTTCTTACCATGAAATAACTTGCTTCTTCTAAGTCTTTTACAGAAAATCTTTTCTCTATTTGCTAAAAACTAGTGTGTAACTTTAGATTGTTTAGATATGTTTTATTTACCTTATCTTTTCGCAAACAATCTTGTAAAATATGTATTCATCTTTCTTTATCAATATATTTTTTTAGATTTAAAAAGTTTGCTGTGTTTGTATTCATCCACCCCTTCTACAAACTGTTATACATATTTTGTAGACCCTAACGGGACCAACAAGTGGTATCAGAGCAGTGTATTCTTTATTCTTATTGTTTAGTTGTTTTTCTGCATTATATTATCTGTTTCCCTGTATAATCCTACTGCTTTCAAATGGCTTTACAAAACACAAACACACACTTTCAAGATAATGACTCTCTTGCCAAACCACCCGTTTTATCCGAGACAACTTTAGTCTCTGGAAAAATCGGATGTTCTTCTTTCTGGAAGGTGTGGATCCTGAAATTCCACACTATATAGAAAATGGACCATATGTTTCATATGCTATTTCTCCGGCTGTTTCTGAGACAGCTACGACTGTCGCGATTCCTGAACGACATATTCCAAAGCTCCCTCATCAATGGAGCGATGAAAATAAGAAGAAGATAGATATAGACACTCGTACAAGGTCTATAATAGCTATGTCTCTTCCCGATGAGGTTTATCACTCTGTGATGAAACTCAGAACCTCTAAAGCCATGTGGGAAACTTTATGTGTTCAATATGAAGGAACCTCTCAGGTTCAAGAATCTAGGAAGATTAATCTAGTAAGACAATATGAAAGCTTTCTCTGTGGAAATATTGAAATTTTGTCTGAAATACGTCAATGCTTTAATTGTCTTCTTATAGATTTAAGGACTGTAGGCATGGAATATTCTAATTCTGAAACTTTGACGAAGTTTCTAGAATGTCTCCCTGAGTCTTGGGATACTTATTCCATGTGTCTCAAGATGTCCAATAACATGTCCTCTCTCTTTCAGCACTCTCTATGGGATACTGCTCAATCATGAGCAGTCTCGTCAGTTGAAAAGAAATCTGATTAAAGATATCAGATAAATGAAGAGCTCTCCATTAGCTCTAATATCTGAAGATGCTTCAGCTTCTTCTTATTCTTCTTCTTCTTCTTCTTCTTCTTGTTGTTGTAATTACTGAGTTAGATTCTACTAACACTGAGGATTTGTCAGAATCTGATATCGCATATTTTAATGAATCACTTACGTCATTAACTAAATCTTTTAGGAGATTCGCCAATAAAAGTAAATTCCGCAGATCTCATTCGCTGACCATAAAGGAAAAGCCAAAGTCTGATAAGATAGGCAAGACTTCAGCGATCTGCTACAACTGTCAACGCAAGGGTCACTTTGTTGGTGAATGCAGGTCCAAGAAGGCTGTGACACCATCTTCCAAAACTCCTTCCTCCTTCAAATCTATGGATGATAAATACCTGAAACTGAAGGAGAAGTATAAGGAGATGAAGAACTTCTAGCGAAAGGCCAAGGGTCTTGTCACTGAAGAGCACGACTGGGCTGATTCATCTAATGAATCATCATCTGATGAGGAAGATACAACATATCTCTGCTTAATAGCCAAAAATGTCAAAGAGGAAGCTCCAGAGACATCAACTTCTAATGATCCCTCATCATCATCACCTGCTCATATATGTCTTCTGAATGAACCATATTCTTCTTCCTCATCTAGCCTATCAGCGTTAGACACACTGACGGTAGATCTTTACAATGCCCTGAATGGCAAGTCTAAACAATAAATGCTTAATCTTGATCTTCAAGAACAATTGAAGATTTGTCATTCAAAGATCAAAGAGCTGACTAAGGTTGAAGAAAATCTTAAGGATCAGGTCATCGTAAACCAAACCATCACTGTCGAACACGAACATACTATATAGTACTCAACCTTTTTAAAAACTATGTTGTTTTGAATCTTGATTGTTGAATTAAATATGTTTCGAAGCTTTGTTAAATCTTGATTGTTAAAGTTTTTGGATTCATGATTGTTTTTCGGAAATTGTGATGGCGGAGACAATGGCGAAGTGTATTCGCTAGTGGGGTTAAAAAGATGGTATGGCTAGTGATGGTAAGATTAAAATAAGGAAATAAAAGATAAATAATATTATGAAATGTGATATGTTATTTTAATAGAAAAATTAGAAAATAGATAAAAAGATCAAGATGCTCCATATTTAATTGGATTTAACGAAAAAAAAGAAGAAGTTAACTTTCGTTAAAAGAATAAACAAAAATCGTTACAAACCAATTAAAGTAAAATTGAATAACAAAAACCGTTAATATTGACAAATGGTTCAACACCAAAAGTGAAGTTTACTCTTAAAAGGTATTTTAATTATTGAAAAACGTAAGAAGAAGGCGTTAGTTAAAGTAGATGAAGTTATTATGTTTGTCGGTTGAATAAATAAATTCAAAACAAGATCAAGCAATCCTATCAATTCAAAAACAAACAATGAAATTCATTCCCAGAAGGGATTTCTTTTACCAATCTCTCGTCTCGTCTCGTCATCAAGATCAAGACCAAGATCAAGACCAAGATCTTGATCTTCATCTTTAGCTCCTCCTCTCCTTTTGAATTCTTTCTTCCCCTGGTCTCAACATCAATGTCGTCGGGTTCTCAAACCCTAGGCGGCCAATCCCGCTGCGGATGGCTACTAGGGCCTTCACTCGACAAGATCATCAAGAATGCTGCCTGGCGCAAACACTCCCACATCGTCACTGCCTGTAAATCCGCCCTCGACAAGCTCGAAACCCTCGCCGACGATCCCTCCTCCTCTACCCCGCTCTACGGCGTCTCCTCCCTCTCCGACGCCGAATCTCTCATCCTCCCCCTCATCCTAGCCATTGATTCATCTTCCTCCAAAGTCGTTGAACCCGCCCTCGACTGTTCCTATCGTTTGTTCTCCCTCCGTCTCATCCGCTGCGAGATCGACCCCTCTGAACAACCCTCCTCCCTCATATTCCGTCTCATTGATTCTATATGCAAGTGCGGTAGTCTCGGCGAAGAGGTTGTCGAGCTCTCCATCCTCAAAACTTTGCTCTCAGCTGTTCGATCTTCAACTGTCTTTATCCGGGCTGATTGCCTCAACCAGATTGTCAAGACCTGTTATAATATATATCTTGGAGGGGTCAACGGAACTAACCAGATCTGTGCAAAGTCGGTGTTAGCTCAGATGATGGCCATCATTTTTGCTAGGGTGGAGGGGGATTCTCTGCTGGTTAGCTTCAAGACTGTATCCGTCACCGAACTGTTAGAGTTCAATGATAGGAATCTTAATGAAGGGAGTTCTATACAGTTTGTTCAGAACATGATTAATGAGGTTGTTTTCACTAACGTAGTCGAAGTTAGTCAAAATGCAAACCCGTTGGCCGAACTGCAAGATGCCAAGTCTGCTACCGCCAATGAAAAAGCTGATTCTTCTGATGCTGAATCGGCTGAGAAGGCGGATTTGAGTAGTTATTCTAAGATCAGGGATGATGGGGTCCTGGTTTTCAAGAATTTATGTAAACTGTCAATGAAGTTTTCTTCTCAGGAGCAGCCTGACGATCAGATTCTCTTGAGGGGAAAGATGTTGTCTCTGGAGCTACTGAAGGTAATCATGGAAAATGGGGGTCCATTATGGCGTACAAATGAGAGGCAAGTAATTGCATGTCTCTTAACTGTCTGACACCTTTGATATTTTAGCTATATCTGTATAACTCTTAAAATACATTGGTTAATTTCCTGATAACTGCATGTCACTAAACTAAATGTAAGTTGCTTTGACAATCCGATCATCATGTGTTAAGATTGAGGGCAAACACATTATATGACCAAGCTGTAGAAGTATTTTCTTGTAGGAAAAATGGAAAATATCAAATATCAATATGTCCACATGACTGAGGGAGAAACCACAATAGACCACCCAGATATTGTTAGATACGTTCATGCACTGAACAGTATATGTGATCCTCAAGTCAGGGGCCCAAATAAGGTCCTAATTGGAAAAAGATGAGATATTCGGTATTGATCTCAATACGACCACACCAAACCAAATCAAACCAAACCAAACAAAACAAAACAAACCCAGTAGATCCCATCTAGAAGTAGGGTATGAGGGGTAGGATGTATGCATACCATGCCTTCACCTCAAGAGGTAGAGAGGTTGTTTCCTAGAAGGCCCGACTTGTGAACAAGATTAGGAAAGTTTAGCTAGAGAGTTCAGTTTTGAACAAGTATTTTTGAAAGGCAAATTTAGAAAAAGATTTGAAGGAGTAAACAAGATGAGAAGAAAAACAGAGAAAAAGAGAAAACATGCTCAACAGACAAAAACGGGACAAACCAAAGATTCCCTCCAGGCCTCCACTATGTATCCTACGGCACAACAAACCTATCTCAATTCCTTTCTACCCTCTCCCATCCCACCCTCTACCCTCTTATCTACTCTCCCCCAACTGACCTAGTAATTTTCTTGAAATAATCTGCTACCCTGATATGCGTCTCCAAGAGCTCCTATATGAAGCCATGTCCTTGGAAAGACCAATGCCGCCATGTCCATTCTCAACTCTTCGTCCCACTTCCTCTTTGACCTGCATCTCCTCCTCACCTTAAACCGTAACGCTCTCAATAAATAGACCAAAAATAATAAGGCGAAGAAATATAATTGAACCAAAGTTGGTCAATCTCACAAGTATATAAAGTTGGAAAAAATTACAATAGGAGTCCTTGAAGATTCATAGCGATGAAGGAGCCAGCAGATCACAAGAAGTCCATTTTATCAAACTACACAATATTTCAGCTTTACAAGGGGGCATCCTCCTCACCACTTAATTGCAATCTTGTTCGTTTCTAGGCATGATTCTCCAATTTTTTTGTTCATGAGCATTATAAACATAATAGCAAATCATTTGCAATAAATACGACCATGATTTTGAGTTGAATAGTTGGTTTCAGTTAGCAGGCCTACCAACATCTCTCCATATCAGATTCATGCATCTAACTTTTTTGGGGATAAACACCAATCATAAGGTTTGAGGCTACCTCTTCCAATTACTATTAGATTTGATTGGGGTTCGGTTAGGCTGGAGTTTTACCCTGAAAATCAGAGTCCCCGGACGTCCTTGAATCGATAACTGCAACCATTATCTTTGCCTATGTACTTATAGAGACTCTAAAATAGCTACTCATTGCTTCTATTGATGTGATGAGAAGTATATACATCTCATTCAAGTAACATCTTAAGCTCCGTTTTCTTTTCATAATGTGGTCCAAATACAGGAGACCTGAGATTCTTCTGTTTATAAAAACAACCAATTTTTGGATCATTAAAAACTATGTGAAAAGGAGACAAAATAAATAATTCCTTAGATGAGCGGTCAAAGTTGAATTTTATTGTCAAAGAGGGTTTTCTCTAATAAGAAAGTTAAGCATGGCGCAATGAAATACTGCCAAGAATAGACTAGCATCATCTTCTTCTCTCAGCTCAATAAGTAAGTAATTTCTGGTAGATGTTGGAGAGTTATTATCTAATAACGATGACTGAAAGTAGTTAAAATCACATTGCAGTTAATTGCTCCAAATCTCCCATCCTTTTATGTCTTTTGGGTTTCAATTGTAGAATGACACAACTAGTTTTGGGTACATGCTTCTGTTTGTGAGTTAATTATGTTAGTTTTACTGCCTCAAAATGAAACAAAACTTCTGCAAGCGTCTACGATAATAGAGTCGAGTTAAAAAATTTAACGAGTCTAGGCTGAAAGTGAGAGATTTATATCATTTTGTAACTCGAGAGGTATTTAACATTCTTTCTTTTCATCAAATTTGATAACATGGCTTTATTTTTTTTGTAAGAGGGTGGCTTAGCCACACGGAAAAGTATTTTGTTGATAAAATGAGTGGAAACACAAAAACATCCTATGACTAACGTCCAAAAGAGGGGGCGAGAGACACAAAAGGCTTTGATTAGAGCTCCAATTCACCATCTTATCTTGTGTTCTGAGCTTCTCTCTGATGGCTAGCCATAGAATAAAGAAGATAACACAGTTTTTTTTTTTGCTTACTACATGGTTGATTTTTTTATATGGTGGCTAAAAGCTGGTTTGATTACTTTTAGGAAAGGCTTCAAGTCGACTTTTTCTAACAAATTAACTTTCAAGGGAGTGGTTTGATAGCTATTAGCCACAAATTTGTTCTGTCAAAATATTTGCTTCTTTGTTATGTAAAATTGATCCCCTTATTTTTTAAACCGACTTATTATGATGTCATAAACCTCTTCAAGGTTGGAACTGATGCATAGCCCAATTGATGAGGAGATAGTGTTTAATACAGCTACATGTATTTGAGCTCTAACATTCTATTGTCATTGATTGATTATCTGGAATATAAACTCTGTTTGCTTGCATAGCATGTGGGATGACTTGTTTATATTATATTTGAGTTTTGTTTCTCTTTCCAGAATTAAATTTAATGTACGGACTCTATGTTTGTTGAATGTGATATCTTACTCTTCAGGTTCCTCAATGTGATCAAACAGTTTCTTTGCCTGTCCTTGTTGAAAAATAGTGCGCTGTCGGTCATGTCAGTTTTTCAGCTTCTCTGTTCGATATTTCAGAGCTTATTATCAAAATACAGATCCGTGTTGAAATCAGAAATAGGGATATTTTTCCCAATGCTCATTCTCCGTGTGCTTGAAAATGTGCTTCAGCCGAGTTTCATACAGAAGATGACAATTCTTAATTTACTGGATAAAATATCTGAGGATTCACAGATTATGATCGACGTTTTTGTCAACTATGATTGTGATGTTGATTCTCCAAACATATTTGAAAGGTAACAGACCATTAAAGATTCTTTATGTTTCTTTGTGATTATAGTTGCAAGTGAATGCTTGTAGTTGATGATGTCAAAATGCACATTCTAGACTGTGTTAGTAAATCCAACTTTGTTTACTGCTATCTTTGTTCTATCGTCATTGTTTCTTTATCATGGTACTTGCAGTTTCCTTGCTGACAGTAAGTTACTTTTCTACAAGTTATATATGCTTTCAGCCTGTTTAGGGGTTCTTTCGGTAGCTGAATTAGGAAATTGTTTCTCTATGTGTTTATATCCCTTGACTAATACAAAAAAATGCGGGAGAGATAAAAAAGATGCAGGGTCATTTGTTTATAAACTCTCCTGGCGGATGGGTAATACCGGGGAACCATATTCGTACACCACGACGTGCATTTCGTGTTGATTTGGTACCGCTCTTGCGGCCCGCACCGAAACAGTGCTCTACCTGGGGGGGATCATACCTGTTGGTAGCGGCTTCAAAAAACAACCTAACAACATTTATAATGGACTCCCACCTTTGACCCCCTTTAAAGGTACCGTTGAAATTTGTGTTGCATGTAATCCTGTTTGTCCCCTGTCTACTAGTATAATTACTGACTAATTGTTATGGCTGCATTTTGCTGATAGTTATAGACAATCACATCATAACTGGTACTTAAGCCTGAGTTTGTGACTTTTTTTCTTTCTTTTGCTTGCTAGTAAGTATGTAAAGTTAGCATCGACCTATTAATTCTTAAGTTTTGAATTTTTCCCGAGTCACTTAAGGCTATGGGTTGCATCTTTCTATAGATTTTGATGATTTTCTATTGGAATTTCAATCTCTTGGGCAAGTTGTATAAGTGTTGGGATGCAAATTGAAATGAACGAAATGCTTCTGATGAGGAATTTTCTCACTCATCTAAAACCATCACTTCATCCCCTATTCTTGGAAGAGTGTTGGGCTAGAGACGATCATGGTTGTGAATTCATAAATTAGTTGTAAAATTAGAAATAATAGAATCATGAATCACAATGATCATATCATAAGATTTGATAAGTATTAGTAGAGAGGAATTTTTTGGACAACTAAGTAGTATAGTATGTAACAATTGGAACCTATTGTGGAACAAATATGATCATGTGATCAAGGAGGCTACATTGTCTTTAGATTTCGCATCTGATGAACCTGGTGGATGAGACATGCATAAAAGAATGAATTTCTTTCAAGGTGTTGTCTTTCACCTTCTTTCTTTGTTTAGTTTTTGCTTAAAGTAGGTTGAACTGACAATATGAGTCTTCTTGGTGTTTTACTCATCCTTGTCCTTTTCATCCATGTCGGATGATTTTTCCTATATCAACTATTCCAGTCCTCATATCTTGAAGACATAGCTGGAGACAGTGCTGTGTCGATGCTAATGCCAAGTATATGATCTCGTAGGTCTCATTGCACTGCCAAGTGGCATTGGTAGTGTGCACTTCTTTTTTCTCATAGAGCTGGTCATGAATTGAATTTTACGCTTTCATTCTGCTCCCAAAGCTTATTAGCATATGGGCATTTTATTAATTTCTAGTTGTGCAATTTTTGCTTGAATCGTCTGCAGTATCGAAGCTGCAGACATTCATAGATGTTGCAAGGTCATTTGTTGTCCTTTAGTAATTTATTGTTCATTTCTTATTCTTAGAATTCTGTGGGACATTTTTCCTGTGGTTGCTGTAATATTTTTCTTTTGAGCAAGATCAACGATGCCATTTATGACCCTCTAGTTTGGTAATGGTACGCTAAATTGTACAGGGCTTACGGAATTATGATGAGAGAGCTAAACCTAATTTTTTCTGGAAAATAATTTTTGATGTCAGCCTAGCATACACCAAGCCCGTAGTGAACCTTAAAATCAGTCAAATCTCTCTTGATTGCTTCTAACGTTTGTTAGTAGTATCTTCCTCATCATCACAATTGAAGTTTAAGTGCTTAGATATGAGAAGTAAGGATTTGAGTGTGGGAACAATATTTTAGAGATGTATTTGCACAGTGTCTTGCTTTTCACTGGTGGAGTCATCTTTTATTTTTGTGTTCTGCATCAGTGATATTCCATGTAATCGTTTCTTGTGGATTTTTGTCTCTCTCTCTCTCTTCTCCTCTTAGTCTCTTATGCCCACAAACGTTTACTGCTTTGTTTTAGTTTTGATATCTTTCTGTTTTGTGCTAGGATTGTGCTTTAGTAAATAGTATTTAAACCTTGTTAATTCCATCAGACATTTACAGGACTGTGAACGGTCTTCTGAAAACTGCTCTAGGTCCACCACCTGGTTCCACTACCTCCTTGTCACCAGTGCATGATCTAACATTTCGGCTTGAATCAGTTAAGTGCTTGGTCATAATAATCAAGTCAATGGGAGTTTGGATGGACCAGCAGCTTAGGATAGGTGAGTTTGGTGTACGGAACACATCTGATAATGATAGTGTTGTTGAGTGTAACACAAGTCTTGGAGGAGATGAAGGAAGTCTTCCTGATTTTGAGCTGCACCAAGAAGCAATCTCTGATCACTCCACTGCTACGCTAGAGCAACGCCGGGCTTATAAGTTAGAACTCCAGGTATAAAATAATTTATTATAGATATTTTCTGGTTTTATATCTATGAAATGTTAGCGAGATTGCTTTTCTTTTATGTGTATGTAAACATCTATATATTGGGAAATACACATAGGGGACCCCTAACAATGAATAAGGAAATATATTTAAGAGATCCCTAACATGAACAATGCTTGTGGAAGAGGCCATCTCACACTTAGGCCCCTGTAGCTTCAGCCTGTGGGTCCTCTGTGGTACATGTGGAACTATGTCTTCTACAAGCATTATTTTTGTAAGGGATGGCTGCAAAACTGCTTCGTGCTGAGTGTCCCTGTACCATCCAAGATACCAAAATCCATAAGATAAGTAACAAGGCAGGCAGCTAGATAAGCATTTGTGACCCAACTACGCCGAAATGTGAACTGATATCATGAGTGAGCAAAGTTCCCCTGACGTAATATTGATGACCTGTAAGGTTTTTCATTTTTTTGACTGTCTATGATATGGTGGATGTTTTTGACCTTTCTAATTTTCCACATTGCACCTTCTACGTTGTTCTGCAATGCCATATCTTTGACAAATCTTTCCAATAATGCTAGTATTATGCCTATCCGATGTTTATATAAATTTAAGTTTTTATATGATTATGCACTAAAATCTTCACCTTGCTACCGCAGAAAGGTATTTCCCTGTTCAATAGAAAACCTTCGAAGGGTATTGAGTTCCTCATAAGTAACAAAAAGATTGATGGTACCCCGGAAGCGGTTGCATTATTTTTGAAGAACACTTCTGGTTTGAATGAGACTGTGATTGGTGACTATTTGGGCGAAAGGGATGATTTCTCATTAAAAGTAATGCATGCTTATGTTGATTCCTTTAATTTTGATGGAAGGGACTTTGGTGAGGCTATTAGATTTTTTCTAAGGGGTTTCAGATTACCTGGTGAGGCGCAGAAAATTGACCGTATCATGGAAAAATTTGCGGAGCGCTATTGTAAGTGCAATCCTAATTCGTTTACTAGTGCTGATACAGCATATGTCCTTGCCTATTCTGTGATAATGCTGAATACGGATGCTCATAACAGCATGGTGAAAGACAAGGTGAGATTTACCAACTCTTTATAGTTTATATTACCTTCGTAACGGCTTATATGTTTATTTATCTGGTCCTGAAATCTTTTTAATTTGGTTCAGAGATATGCAATACCGATTACTTTCTGGCTGGTAGAAGATTCGAAATCCTTGCTTTAGGGAAATGTTGGCCAAAATTAATATTGTAGGATATGCTTAAGAAAGTAAAACAGGAATAATGTTCATCAAAAGCAGTGCATTGCAGAACTGATATTCTGACAGTAACTGAGAAAAGTATCTTTGCTTCATATTTCAGACATATTCATGCTTCAGATAGAGTAAATTGTTGAAATATATATCTGATTAGTATTGATAATAGCTATTTAGATTTGTTTTTATTATATTTTTCTACCAACTCTCCAACATTGAATCTAAAGAATGGGTCTGCAGAGTTCAAACTCAATTGAGTTTTGTATTAGAAAGGGGTACTTGTCCCTCTGGTCTTAATGGCCCCCCCGCAGATGGTTTAGACTTGTTGCAATCTTATCTGCACCTTTTTTCATCTTATCTGCACTTTTTTTCATCTTATCTGCACTTTTTTCCATGTAAGAGAACTATCTAAGAAGTGGTGTAGATATCATTTTATAGAAAAATAAACTGTCTGAGGGTAACTGTTGCCTTCTCTGGTCAAACCAAAAAATAATGCTTCAGAAGCTAGCTGATGATTGTTCATTTGTAATTGTAGCTAAGAAGAGGTTAAAGTTGCTTTTGTTGGAAGAGGCAGCTAATATGTTAACTTTTCTCCTTCCTCTTTTTTTTGTCTTTTTTAGTTGATACTATTTGCTTTCTGTGTATGAAATACGGGGCATTTTCATTCTTGCTTAGACCTTTCAATTAGATGTTTGGATGAAGAATATTTTTCGGTATGTGTTTTTCTTTTTAATGTATTTACTTAATTTGGTTATGTTTTTAAAGAATAGTGAAGAATGGTGTGGGAATGACCTGTTAAGTCAGTAGACACATTTTTGACACAAGAATCTTGAAGGTGGAATGTGATGTGCAGCTTCTTAGAAAATGTTTGCTATTAGTTTTCTCAAAGTAAACATTGGTCACAAACTCGCAGTATTTTGCTATTCATTCCGGGTGGCAGTTAGATGTATCACAATGTTCTTGCTTATTGATGTCACTCATCTTAACAACCAGCCAACTCCACGTACTATTGTGACACAAAGTGTAGAACCAGAATTAATGAAGAATTGAGGGTGATAAGGTGTGAGATGCTCTGATTAGAGAATGAACCCTAGCTTTCGAGAGGCTAGGCTCTCCATTTTAAAACGGTGGCAAGTTTTCTGATGATCTATACCCAACCCACATCCCTGCTTGTATAACTAGAACATGTAACAGAAAATAACATATATTCCCACTTCTACCCCTCAAGGGAAAAATCCCTTGCTCCTCAGATCTATGCATCCAACTGATGATTAATTTCCTTCCACTTAGGGGCCCTTGCTCAGCCTTCATTTCCTGTGTCTTCCTTCTCGAATGTGAAGCGAACGGGTGGGTGCATGACACATATGTGACACATACTGTAGTTACTTATGTTGTGCCTCAGAAATAGTTCTCTTTTTGACTGAATTACAAAAAACGATCCTTTGATATTGCTAAGTTTGTTGATTTTGTCTGTCAACTGTTTTGTTAACTCCGATGAACCCTTTTGTAAAAACTTTGTTTCATCTGTGTGCTGTTAAATTACTCCCAATCAATTTGGGTTGTGATCTTCGTTTGAAGGACTTGGATAAAGTTGGTGATGGGACAATTTTTTTAAGGGATGAATTTTGTAGTTCATTACTCTTTTTTTTTATGGTTTGTGTTTGTATCGATAGATTTTCATGCAATGGGATATTGAGGTGGTCTTGTGGTCCTGATTATGTCTGAGGATGTAATTTTGCTCATGTGTGAGATCATAGCCCATCATGTTGGTATATTCAGGAATTGGATAGTTTACTACACTGGATATTTCATATTAGTGGATCATGATTAGTGTTTTTCCTCTTTTAGGGTTAGATCATACTCTTTGCTGACTACTCTTTGTAAGCTTTGGCGCTCGCCTCTGTTATTATGAAATACTAGAGGTTTCATTTGCTGTTCTTTTCATTTCAACATCGTTTCAAACTAGGTGTAAAGTTAAAGTCTTTGTTCCTGCTTCCCCAATTTATGTTACAAGTGTAATCTGCACACAAATTGATTTATGCGTCATGACACACCTCTCTATTTGGGAAGGAAGGGGGGGGGGGGGAGCTTAAATGCTATTTCCTTTTTTATGGTGGGTTTCTGAGAAGGATTTTAGATTAGTTCTCCCTTAAAAAATGTCGATACTTGCTGGGGAAAATGTGTTCTGGTTTTAATACTGTGTTTGAATATAGGTTCTGGTCGGTCTATGGGTATATATTTTTATTTGATTTCTCAACTCCTTTTTTCTTCTGCTGAATATGCACAATCGACATCTGACCATAAAATTTGAACTTTTTTTTACCGATTTGATCCTGTAGAACGAATTACTGAAACACCCCCTAAAAGCATGAGCAAAGCAGGAGCGGCTCTGGCTGAATATATTATGTACCGTGAACGGCACACTTCAATAATTTATGATGATTCCTCTAAACAAGCGCAAGCTTATCGCCCTATGAAATGGGGGGTCTTTCTTTCGCCTATCGTATGTAGCGGCTGGAAGAGATGAATAAAAATGTGATGAACAAATAAGGCGGGTGATGAATAACTAAAACCCAACAAAAACAGTTATATGTTTATCATTTTGAATTTCAAGTTATTGACTTCATATAGCAAGTGTTGTTTATACTCATAATGCAAAGATGGTATGTTGCTATACCTTAATCTTTAAAATAAAAAATAGAATATTCTCAAAAGAAAAAATGTAAGGAAAGGAAAGTAGAGGAAAACAAGAATAAAGGATTGCACTAGCCAATGCCAAAACCTGTTCCCTCTATATTCTTACCCTGCTTTGGCATCTTCAGTGAACTCCAAAAACAACATCAGCCGTGCCAGCAGCAGCAAAGGCATAACCATCAACAGCATCAACAACATCAGCAGCAGTGGTGATGGCAGCAGTGAACATAATAGGCATGTAGGAAACCTAAGCTTAATCCACATATTTTTGGAAATGGAATCACACCCTAGTCTCTTTCTTTTTTCTTACTCTCACTATATTTTCTCAACTTCTTTTAACTGAAGGTAGGAAGTACAAGCACTCAGTTTCTTTTTTCTAATTTTAAGTGAAGGCATTAGGGATGATCTGCTCAGCCCTCCTATACAAATTCCTTTTCTTGTCATAGAAGTATAGAACAGATTTGATAAAAGGGCATAACTTATGTTCTTGTACTATTTGTAGTTTTGATGAGAAACATATCTAGTTTGTTTTTCTGTTTTCTTTTTTGCTTACATATCTCGTTCTTCCAGCTATTTACTTTTGTAGTAATCACTTCTCAGAAGGTAAAATTCTAAATGTTTGGCTGGTAGTTGAATTAAGCATGCATTTGAAGGTAGAAATACAGGCTAGAGTGGCAATATAACAATATAGTAGAAATATACTGTTAGACATCATAGAGGACCAAGACATATTTCTCCCCTATGTTCTTGACAAGGTTGCATTTCCATGAATGTGTTTCAAAGCATAAAATGCAAAGGAACTATTTGTAGTTTTTGTGAGAAATATATCAGTTTGTTCTTCTGTTTCTTATTTGTTTACATATCTCTTTCTTCCAGTTCTTTACTTTTGTAGTAATCACCTTTCAGAGGGTAAAATTCTAACCGTTTGGTTGGTAGTTGAATCAAGCATGCCTTCGAGAGTATAAATACAAGTTAGAGTGATAAAAAAATATCTTATGGGCCGTTTACGAAACACTTACCTGGTGAGTGCTTACTGGGTCACTTTACCTTATCGGATAAATATGACAGGATTGAGTATCTGACCCGGTGAAAGCGTTGACAAGGACCGAGAGTCCTACCCGGTAGGTGAGAGTGACGACTCTTACCTTATGCTAATAGCGCCGCAATAGGGGATTGTGGACTAAGGGAAAATTGTGGTGGTCAAATTGCGATGAAAATTGCGTTTCCGATATTAGCGGCGCAATTGACCGATATTTAAGGTGAAATTGCGGACTGATACTCCGATATTTTAGCTTGGGCCTCTTTAGAACTATGTTGACTAAGATGCCGAACCTATTGCTTTTGATTAGCTCGTTCATGAACACTTTTCCTATTTTGTTTTGTGAAACTTGTTTAAGTTGATGTTTTGATGTTGAAACTGTATTTTTAAAAATTGATGCATATGATATGCTTATGTATGCATACATATATATAATTCTAGAAAATATTATATGAACTGCTATTTTTAGACCACTATACCACTGCTATAACCGCTATTTCAAATATCAGTCCTGACCGCAAATTTTGTATTTTCACCGCTATAACAGCATAGCTCTTACCCCGTAAGCACTTACTGGATAAAAATGTTGCATACATGTTGCTTGAATGGACTAAAACTTTACCAGCTAAGTTAAATGAAAATGTTGACTCTTACCAGTAAGCACTTATCGGGTAAGCATTGGGTAAATGGCCCCTTATAGTGGTGTGGCAGAAAATATAGAGTTATACATCATAGAGGACCAAAACATTTTTTCACTGTGTTCTTGACAAGGTTGCATTTCCATGAACTGTTTCAAAGCATAAAATGCATAGGAACATGCAAAAGTCTACTTTTTTAAATGCTTTACTAGAGTTTGAATTAGGTTTAGAGGATAAAAAGTGAAGAAAATATAGATCAGGTTGATGTATTGCTAGCTTATGTAATATTTCATCGAGGGTAACATAAATTTGAGTGCTCATAAAATGCTACTCTGTGTTACTTTTTGTTGAGAAAGATTATGTTTTTCTTTTCCTCCAATCTGTTCTCTTATTATACTTGCAAGGTTTTATCATTCCGTTGTGGAGGTTGAACATTTGGAAGTTCTTTCGGGGTGTTTAGACTGATATGGTTGATATAATTTATTACATTCCACATTGATTATTTAGATCTTCTCTGAATTTCATGCTGGTTTATATGTAAGATGAGCAAAGCTGATTTTATTCGGAACAACCGTGGGATCGATGATGGAAAGGACTTACCTGAAGAATATTTGGGTGCCCTTTATGATCAAATTGTGAAGAATGAAATTAAGATGAAAGCTGATACTTCAGTACCACAGAGCAAGCAAACAAACAGTGTTAATAGATTACTGGGCTTGGACGGCATACTTAATCTTGTATGGAAACAGACAGAGGAGAAACCGTTGGGTGCAAATGGAGCTCTCATAAGGCACATCCAAGATCAGTTCAAGGCTAAAGCGGGAAAATCAGAGTAATATAAATTACCTTCTAAATGGATTGTAATTGATAATTTGTAATTTTTCATGTGTCCTCTAAAAATACAGTTTTGCTAGGATTCTTGGCTCTAGGTTGTAGGGCACATAGCAGATTATGAAAGTTCAACACCCCCTCCTCCACACATACTCAAAGAGAACTGAAAAATGTCAAGAAAATTGTGGTATTTTGGCCAGTTTTAGTGCCAAAATTTTATGCTTGTAGTTCCACAATGACTGCAAACTTTGAAACAACGATGGGCATGTAATAAAGTAGTTTGATGCTCTAGGCGTTCAGTTTTTAGACGCTAATCACCTTGTATGTCTGCTTTCTGATCCCTGATTTAAGAAATAGATTATGAATTCCAAAAACTTGCTCTCTTGCAGGTCTACTTACTATGCTGTTGCAGATGCAGCAATATTGAGGTTTATGGTGGAAGTCTGCTGGGGCCCGATGCTCGCTGCCTTCAGTGTAACGTTGGATCAGAGTGATGATAAAGCAGCCACTAATCATTGCTTACAGGGCTTTAGGCACGCTGTGCATGTTACCGCAGTCATGGGTATGCAGACACAGAGGGATGCATTTGTCACCACTGTTGCAAAGTTCACATACCTTCATTGTGCTGCAGATATGAAGCAAAAAAATGTGGATGCTGTTAAGGTAGTCACTGCTTTTTCTAGGAACGTGTTATCACTCCAAAGGGAGTTAGATTTATTACTGTCAAAGTGTTAGAACTGTCAGTAAATAATGAACATTTGTGAAACTCATCACTTACACAAACATGCAGCACGAGTCACAACACATTTATATTTCTGCCACCTAAACTTGTATATGATGCCAACATATGTTAATTCTAAATAATTGTCTTCGAAAATGACAGAAACTCGAATTTTGCTCAGGTTTTATGCTCTTATGGTTTGCATGTATTCAATAAGCGGCCTTTGTTAAATCTTAGGCTTACATTTATAAATTTTATTGGTAGGCAACAATAGCAATCGCCATAGAAGACGGAAATTATCTTCAGGATGCCTGGGAACACATATTGACCACTCTATCTCGATTTGAGCATTTGCAACTATTGGGAGAGGGTGCTCCATCTGATGCATCCTTTTTAAGTGGATCAAACATTGAGACAGAGGACAAGTCAGTGAGATCCAGTTTTACATCCTTGAAAAAGAAAGGAACCCTCCAGAATCCAATTGTAATGGCCGTTGTTCGAGGGAGTTCATATGACAGCACTTCTCTGGGAGTCAATACCTCAGGACTGGTAACCCCGGAACAAATTAACAGCTTCATTTCAAATTTGAACCTGCTTGAACAGATAGGAAATTTTGAGCTTAACCACATTTTTGCTCATAGCCAAAGGTTAAACAGCGAAGCAATAGTGGCTTTTGTGAAAGCTCTTTGTAAAGTGTCCATGTCAGAATTGCAGTCACCAACAGATCCTCGAGTATTCAGTCTGACAAAAATAGTGGAAGTTGCGTAAGATCCTATCTTTGCTTCTCTAGTATAAGCAAATGCATTTATTTTATTTGCTCAAAATCTCATCAAAATTTTTATTTTCTCAAAACCTTGTCGTTGTTTTGTGTTTGCCTTGATGACTTGTGTGCCTTGCAACTAACAATCTTCTTATCTTAGTTGAGGAGAAAGATCATTTCTATAATTTTCTACAAAATTGTTGGTGCAGTGTCTACATAAGCACTTTCAGGTACAATATTTATTACTGAAGGTTTGAAGTATGAGGTGTAGTAGAAAGGCATTCTGGATAAGCTTGTTGCACATAATCTTGCAAGGGATGTTAAAATATTGTAAGAATATGCAACAAGCTTATCCAGAACGCCTTTCTAGTACACCTCATCCTTCAAATCATCAGTGTCATAAAATATTGTACCTGAAAGTGCTTATATAGACATTGCACCAACAATTTTCTCACAAGTCGTAGAAATGATCTTTTTGCCTCAACTAAAAGGTAGGAAGGCTATTATCTAAAATATCCTAACAATGGTGCAAGGCATACAAGTCATTAAATCAAAGTCCTTCCTTTTAGATTTTCACACCTTATCATTTGAATTTTCTTCAGGCACTACAACATGAACCGAATCAGATTAGTGTGGTCTCGCATATGGAATGTCCTTTCAGATTTCTTTGTTTCGGTTGGTTTGTCAGAAAATCTTTCAGTTGCCATCTTTGTCATGGATTCATTGCGTCAACTTTCTATGAAATTCCTTGAGCGAGAAGAGTTGGCAAACTATAACTTCCAAAATGAGTTTTTGAGACCTTTCGTGATCGTCATGCAGAAAAGCAACTCTGTTGAAATCAGGGAACTAATAGTTCGTTGCCTCTCACAGATGATCCTGAGCCGGGTCGATAATGTGAAATCTGGCTGGAAAAGCGTTTTCATGGTAAGTTTTCATTATGCATTCCTTCCTATTTCTGTTAAGCTGGTGTTCCATTCTTTAAACATAGCATTATACTCAAATATCTCAACTGGAATGTAACCTATATTTGATCCATGTATTGGATGAATTTTTTTGGCCCCACTCTATCTTCATCACTTAGCTTAATCTTTTTTCTCCTTTAGGTTGCTTGATGTTTGTCTTTCTTCTTTCTTGTTTATCATTTTCTGCTGTACATTGCCAAACTATTGTAGCCATTGAATTTCCAATGAAATGCTGGGATCGGAAATTTCTGTTTGTTCTCACATATGGCGAGGATGTTATTTGGTACAGTTTTGTGAAACTAGTTTTCTGGGGACTACTTAGGTGTTAGTAATTCTTAGGAGGATTTGAAGGATTCTTCATTGACTTTATTTTACTTATAATGATGCATTTCAAGGAACTTGAAAGATCTCATTCATTAGTTTTAGATACATTAGTTGAAATTAGCCTGTAAATGGTTGTTCGAATTGAAGATCAAGTTATAGAGTTCGAATTGAACATGAAGTTTTAGAGTTCGAATTGGATCAACAAACTGTTACCAAAATTTATATCAACAAATAGTAAGTTTGGACATCCAAATCTTGATTATTCTCATACTGTGCAAACTGAGATAACATCTTAGTTCACTTAAAACGAGATTACCTAAGAACAAGAATCTAAAGAGTAATCTGAACCCAAGTCCCAATATGAGAACTAAGAGGTAACAAAGTGAACATGTTGGAGAGTGGATAACATGTCAAACGGTAATGGATCAGATTGGCAATTTTTCTTTCTTACTGGAATGTATCATGGGGCAAAAAGTTTAGATTGACCTGTTTGAATTTGCTCCTTCATTTCATTACGTTAGTGCGAAGCATGATTATGGCAAAAGTACATATATAAACATATGAAGTTGAATTACGTTAAAGTGCTGAACACATGAAAATAATTCCTAACATTTAATTTAGTGCAACGTGTTGCCAATAGGGGTACCTTGTCAAAAAATCCTATAACAAAGAGCACAAATGCTTAGTTTCATTAGAGTATCACACCTTCACTCTCTGCAAAGAAAGCTATCATTCTGCTAAGAATTGAATTCAAACAAGTAATTGACACAGATTGAAGGTTGAAATTGATGAGTTGAATGATTGATTAAAGGAATAAAAGGGAAAGCTATCTTCTGCTGTTCCTTTTATAAGGAAATGCTAGCTTTAGGTATAACGTCTTGGGCTTCCAGGATATCCATTTGACGGGTTATATGCATAGTTGAGCTGTCTCCAAGAAGGATTCGGATTAATTTTGAACGTAGATGATGATTTTATAAATGCTTTTTCAATCTTCCCTTTTTCCAACTTAGATATGACTGGTGACAGGTGATTCATATAGCATCATGCACATTCTAAACTGGTAACAGAAGTGAGGTCATTAATTCACCAAAAAATAAGTAGGCTATCTTTAGTTGACGATGCTTTCACTTTAAAGCATTGAGTTGAACTCTTCTTTGGTGTCAAGGTAATCGTGATGAATAGTCATCGACTTTGAGGAAAGGCTAGGAGACTGTTAGTTGGAGATTGCAATGATGGATCTCAGACCCTTTAAAAGGCATGTCCAGAAACTACTGACTGGTGGTGGTGTGTTCATCATGTTGAACAGATTTATGTACAAAATGATGCCTAGTGGTGACCCCCACAATAAGTTCAACAGCTCTATGTACCTAAAGATACCTAGAAACTTGCTGTTGCTGACATTGTTCATTATATGCATTCAATTTTTTTTCACAGGCATTAACCGCTGCTGCTGCTGATGAAAGGAAGAATATTGTGTTGTTGGCGTTTGAGACCATGGAGAAAATAGTACGGGAATATTTTCCTTATATAACTGAGACGGAGACCGTGACTTTTACTGATTGTGTTAGATGCCTCATAACCTTCACCAATAGCAGATTTAACAGTGATGTAAGCCTTAACGCCATTGCTTTTCTCCGGTTCTGTGCTGTGAAACTTGCCGAAGGGGGTCTTATTTGCAGCAGAGAAAATGCTGATGATGATTCAAGCATTCAAGTGAAGGAAGCTACTGCTGATGGACATACTTTAATGGATAAAGATGAGAATGCTTCCTATTGGATTCCTTTGCTGAGTGGTAACTTACCTAATCCTCTAAAGCATCCGACAAGTCATTTCTCTCTGCCTTGACTTTTATTTAATACCAAACATGAATTAAAAAGAAACCTGTTGGGGTATGCTGAACTTCGACCTACTACCAGATGCACTACTTCAATCTCTGGCAGGAACCTAATTTATCTTTGAAGAAATGCTGCTTGCTTTCAGGATTGCTTTTATTTAATGTTAGATGTTCTCTGGCCCACAACCATATCAGACATATTCTCATATTGTTTTTTACCTTGCTGTTTCAGGGTTATCTTCGTTGACGTCGGATCCTAGGTTAGCTATCAGAAAGAGTGCTTTGGAAGTGCTTTTCAATATTTTGAAGGACCATGGCCATCTTTTTTCTCACTCATTTTGGATTACCGTAATCAATTCAGTGATTTTCCCTGTCTTCAAATTTGTGAGGGACAAGAAAGAGAATAATGATCAGTCTTCACCAGCTTCTATATTTTCACATCCAGAACCAAGCACTTGGGATTCTGAAACGTCTTCTGTGGCAACTCGGTGTTTAATAGATCTATTCGTCAATTTTTTTCCTGTGATGAGGGCTCAATTAACTGAAGTAGTATCACTACTAGCAGGACTTTTCAGAAATCCAAGTCAAGGTTCTGCTAGCACTGGAGTATCTGCATTGATGCATTTGGTGGGTGACTTGGGATGCATGCTCACTGAAGATGAGTGGTCATGCATCTTTCTTTCTTTGAAAGAAACCTCAGCTTCAATGTTGCCAGGTTTCCTAAAACTCATCAGAATTATGGATAGGATTGACGTGCCAAATGTTGCTCAATCGTATTCCTATTCCTATGATGATGGGGAGACATTGAGCAATAATGGTACAACTGAAAACTACGAGGATGACAACTTGCAAACGGCAGGATATATTGTTTCAAGAATGAAAACTCATATATCAATGCAACTACTTATCATGCAGGTCCACTCTCTACCATTAAAGATGTTGTGTTGTTTTATTGATAGATTTGTAGTAGAAAATGACTTTGGTTACAAATGTTACAGGTGACAACTGATCTGTACAACATGCACCAAGACTTGCTGAAGGCCTCAAGTGTCAAGATTGTACTTGAAATATTTTCACAGACCATGTCTCATGCTCATCAATTGAGCTCAGAAATGGGCCTACATCTGAAGCTGCAGAGAGCATGCTCCATCCTTGAGATCTCTGATCCACCCGTAGTACATTTTGAGAACGAATCTTATCAAAACATACTCAACCTATTGCACCATTTACTGACGAGCAACCCATCTTTGTCAGATGAGATGGGTATAGAAGCACGACTATTTTTAATATGCGAAGAAATTATAGAAATATATCTCAAATGTTCGAGATTGGAAGAGGGGAAACCAGAAAAAGCAGTGGTCCATTGGATCCTTCCACTGAATTCAGGTGTGAAGGAAGAATTAGGGGCAAGGACATCTTTGCTTGTGTCAGCATTGAGGGTTTTAAGTGAAGTAGACAAGGATTGCTTTAGGAAGTATGCATCTAGGTTGTTTCCGTTGCTAGTAGAGTTGGTGCGTTGTGAGCACAGCTCTCGTGAAGTGCAGCCTGTTCTAAGCAACTTGTTCCAGACATGTGTAGGCCCCATAATAATCAAAGTGTGACATGTTTGTTTGTGTACAGATAAGAATATATATTAAATATATTTCTAGTGTAGTACTGACCGACTGTAGGGCACTGGCAATGGCACGATATATCTCCATTCCGTTTTTGCTACTCTATCTAGTCGGTATAAGGAGTTTCTGGTGTTGTATTTGTACTGTGTATGGTATGGCCATTCTTTTGGGTGATTAATACAAACAATTTGTTTATTCTCATTTAATTATCTCTTTGCATTAAGCCAAGTGAGTTGATATTAAGCAAGTTTGTTTCCTTTTGCCATTGAACTCTTTATCTACTTTGGTAAGAGGATTTGATATTTTTTCTATGAATTATGATGTATAGAACTTGTTAGGTCCATTGACGTTAATAACAAATGATATTACTACGAAGTACAAACGTTGTAGAGATAAAAATCTCCGAGATAACATGTTACATTTCTGTTTAACGGAAACAAACAAGAATCTAATCCCTAAAAGCAAATTACATATTACTTGGATTATATTCTCTCTTGTAGATTGTGTCTAAGGATAATCATCCTGTGTAAATAGTTTGTAATTAGAACGATGTGAAAAAATATACATGAACAAACTTCAAGAATGCAAAAACATAAGCTTGATGAGCAATAGTCCATGATTGTTCATTCTACATGACATATAACATACACAAGTCAATTTTTAGCCTCATCGTTTAGCAAAACACTTTCATATATATTTTAATTATCAAGCAATATTTATTCGACTAACATACTTAATAGAAAATAAGATCCATTTCTTAGACCCCAAATGGTATATGAGTAAAATAATCTCCAAAACTTGTGGGATTCAACGTTAAGAATTGAGACAATTGTTACTTAGCAAAAATCAATTTAATCATATGTCAAAATATAAAGAACTAAAGGTCACATATAAAATCGTCATGGATTAACAAAAACTAATCTGGAATTTGTTCAAGAAGAAGATGCAATAAATGAAATGATTTTTGTAGTTTATTATATGCCAAAATAACTTTAAATTTGGTATCTTTAGCAATAATATACTAATATAGTTTATATTAATATAGTTTATACTAATATAGTTCTTGGTTGGAAGAAGAAGAAAAAATAGATTCTCAAGCCACGAACTTGACCGCAGGCAGGAACAGGAGCAGGAGCAGGAGCAGATCCCCAACCACCGGTTCCAAATGCGATTTTGGCCGCTCTTCTTCTCCTTCCCTTGAGGATGTTATAGATAGCGCTGCTCTCTTTTCTTTAGGTAGGAGAAACCCTAAAAATCCTTTTTTTCTTTTCATTTTGATACAGGCAGACCCACATGAATGTAGCGTATCCATGATGCTGGTGAGTTTTTATCCCCTCAACTTGATCCTTTCTTGGAACCTTGGTGTATGTCATGATTTTTATTGTTTTCATATAGACTGCAATTTTTTATTTGGAGTCCTCAATTACAAGTGAAATACATATTCTTCGTTTCCAACTATGGAAAACGAGGTGATCGAATTCGACATGGGACTAGGAGGAGGTGGAGATGATGCGGTAGCCATTATCGATGATGAAGAAATGACTGATGATTCTCCCAGTGCTGCCAATGGCATTATGGGAAGCTCTAGTTTCTTCGATCCTTCTACTTATGTTCTTCAACGGGACCTGGATCTTGAGCCGTGTGAGGGCATGGAATTCGAGTCTGAAGAGGCTGCCAAGGGTTTCTATAATTCCTATGCTCGCCGTGTCGGGTTCAGCACCCGTGTTAGCTCTTCTCGTAGGTCCAGAAAGGATGGCGCCATCATACAGAGGTCCTTCGTTTGTGCTAAAGAAGGATTCCGCAACTTAAATGAGAAACGCACCAAAGATAGAGAGATCAAACGCCCACGAACTGTCACCCGTGTAGGTTGCAAGGCATCAATGTCGGTGAAGATTCAAGATTCAGGCAAGTGGGTCGTCTCAACATTTGTGAAAGAACATAATCATGAGTTGGTTCCTCCAGACCAGGTTCACTGCCTCCGTTCCCACCGCCAAATATCTGGTCCTGCCAAGACTCTGATTGATACTTTGCAGGCAGCTGGAATGGGACCCCGGAGAATAATGTCAGCCTTGATCAAAGAGTATGGTGGTATCAGTAAAGTCGGATTTACAGAAGTAGATTGTAGGAATTACATGAGGAATAACCGCCAAAGGAGTTTAGAAGGAGACATACAACTTCTCCTTGATTATCTGAGGCAAATGCATGCAGACAATCCATCATTCTTCTATGCTGTTCAGGGGGATGAGGAACAATGTACAGGTAATGTATTCTGGGCTGATACAAAGGCAAGGGCCAACTACACTTACTTTGGGGATACTGTCACATTTGACACCACCTACAGATCAAACAGATATCGTTTGCCCTTTGCACCTTTCACTGGGATCAATCATCATGGCCAGCCTGTTTTGTTTGGCTGTGCTTTTCTCATAAATGAATCGGAATCCTCATTCATATGGCTATTTAAGACTTGGGTTTCAGCAATGTCTGGCCGCCTCCCAGTATCAATCACCACAGATCATGACACAGTCATACGATCAGCCATTATGCAAGTTTTTCCTGACATCCGCCATCGCTTCTGCAAATGGCACATCTTTAAAAAGTGTCAGGAGAAGTTATCCCATGTGTTCCTCAAGTACCCCAATTTTGAAGCAGACTTCCATAAGTGTGTGAATTTAACAGACTCAGTTGATGAATTTGAAACTTGTTGGTTGTCACTTGTTGATAAGTATGATCTTAGGGATCATGAGTGGCTTCAAGCAATATACTCGTCACGCATTCAATGGGTCCCTGTGTATTTGCGTGATACATTTTTTGCCGAAATGTCTATAACACAACGCAGCGATAGTATGAACTCTTATTTTGATGGATATGTAAATGCATCAACTACTCTAAATCAGTTTGTGAAGTTGTATGAGAAAGCATTAGAGAGCCGCAATGAGAAAGAAGTTAAAGCGGATTATGACACAATGAATACCCTCCCTCTTTTGCGTACTCCTTCTCCCATGGAAAAACAAGCATCTGAACTTTACACAAGAAAGATATTCATGAGATTTCAAGAGGAGTTGGTTGGGACACTTACTCTTATGGCATCAAAAGTAGAGGATGATGGTGAGGTCACAACATATCAAGTAGCAAAATTTGGAGAGGACAACAAATCGTACCGTGTCAACTTCAATGTTCTAGAGATGAGAGCTACTTGTAGCTGCTGTATGTTTGAATTTTCGGGTCTTCTATGCAGACATGTATTGGCGGTCTTTAGAGTGACAAATGTTCTAACTCTTCCTTCCTGTTACATTTTAAAGCGATGGACAATAAATGCCAAGAGCAGTGTTATACTTGAAGAACGAGTTAATGATGCATTTTCTAGTTATCTGGAGTCGCATACTGTCAGATATAATACCCTTCGACATGAGGCTCTTAAATTTGTAGAAGAAGGGGCCGAGTCTGTTGATACATACAATGTGGCGATGAGTGCTTTGGAAGAGGCTGCAAGGAGAGTTGCCATAACAGCAAAAAATGAAGGAAGAGTTCTTATGATTAATGGGCGTACCAGGGAAGATGCAAGAAGCAATGGAACCCTGACCAAAAGGAATATCAGCAATCACCATGAAAGTTTGGACCAGAATTTATCAGAGGTTAGTTTCTTAGCTTTCTAGTTGCTTGCTGTACTCCAAATCTTAGATCCTGCTAACGAATTTATTTCTTTCCTTCCCTATTTCTTTTATATTCCACATTTTCTCTATATGATGCTCATAGTAAAGTTCTCTAGCTTCTTACTTATCTTGCTGCAATTGTAAGCAGTGGAACATGAGGACATTTTTATAGGATTCCTAGAAGGGACATATTTAGTACCGTTTTTTTTTTGTTACTATTGTTGTGCTTGATCAGGTCTGATTTTTACAGAGGGTGGATATGCTCTAAAGTCTAGCACCTATAGGTCCAGTAAGCTAATATCTCTCTGTCTGTTTTTCCTGGAAAGAGTATTTATTTTCTTTTTTATGAGAGAAAGAACTCTGTACCACAAAGAAAAAGAGTTTGCTTGTTAAGGGGTGAAGAAATTTAAAAAAATGAAGGCTAAGAAAAGAAACATATGTGCATACAGAAAATTTAAGATAGCACTTCCATGTCAGAATTCTTAAACGGAACCTGTGGAAGTATCTCGAGACAACCCAAATACGTATACATGTCCTTAGAAGGTTTATCTGTTAGTGAGCTCCATAAATATGGTAAAACCGCAGAAACATCACAAATTCGACTAATCAGTCCATACTGGCTGGTCAAGAGCCTCTATATATCTAATTCAGTGTTTGGTGTCAACTGAGGGGACACCCAAGTTACGTCACAAACTTTGTTATACACATACTAAGAGCACGATCAGTAGAAGATAAACACCTCAAAGGATTCTTTATTTTGCATCGGCTGCTAAAGGTCATTAGTTTGAAGACACCGAGAAGAACTTCGCCTTTCCCTATCAAACTTTGCCTTTCCCTATCAAAAGGAATGAGGATTACAAGAAGCAACCAGAAGCAGTCAGGAAGGAAATATTAATTAAAACCACTTTAGATTCAAATCCATTTCTATATTGGGAGCATTTAAGAGGTTATTATGTAGAAGCAGATTCTAGATTCAATGCAAGTTACAAAAATATTTTGTTTGAAGTTAACCGAGATAAAGGGGCTGACAAACCTTATCCATCTAACAGCAAAGATATGGATGATAGCAGAGTTTTCTTCAGTTCACCATCTTGCATGTTATTGTTGCTTTTGCAGAGGGTTAACAACTTTGTGATTTATATCATATTTAGCTAGAATGAAGGGGCATGAAATCCATTGCTTAGAAGCTTGATCAGGATATGGCTTTCAGCTTATGAATAGCATTAGCCATAGCCTTGCCTTCAGAAGTAATGAACCTTCACAGAATTAGTGTAGCTAACGGATTTTCACAGAATCCGGGTTAGCTGAGTGATTTCTTGAATATTTGTTAGGTTTATGCACTGAAGAAAGTAAACATTTGTCAAGGTTGGTTGCCAAAAAAGAGAAGATATAAATAGGAAACAACTTACGAAATTGGAAAAGGAAAGAAAACCAAACGAAGAGAACATTTTAGGTTTGTATGTAATTTATAATATAAGCATTGACTTCAAATTTGTTGCAACTGAAACGAACATCAAGGTTTTATATTTTCTAATGTGAATTAACTACATGAATGACATGTACATTATGTCCCTTATTTGGAACAACATTTTTCACTATATGCATCAAAATAGTAAATGTTGGGATAATGGCTTTAGAGGCAACCTAAATCTGGTACCATATCCATATAGGCCACTCCCCAAAAAGATTTGAGGTTACCCACATATCATATACCAGCCACATCATCACCATAGAATTTTCAGCTTCCCAAGCCGCGCATGAGAAGGGTATTCTTTTGTTGGATCGTTCTTATCTCCAGTCAAATATCCAATCTTCCCCCCGCCCCCAAATAAACATTTAGACAGATTGGGACCAAAACAGGAAGTTATCACATGCGAAACATTCCTTGACGTTTTACCTATGAAACAACGCAACACTGTATGAACATTGCATGTTCACATATGTTGTTTCATCTATGAAACAACATACAAACTGTTTATTGTAGTTTCTAACTGTTAGATGGTTTTTGTATGCTTTACCCCCCATATATATATATATAATATTATATATTTGTGTGTCTGCTGCTGGAAAGAGAACCTGAAAAAGCATAAAGCAGTATAGTGTTTATATTATTATTATATTATATTCATATAAATTGTTATATAAATTTCGTATTTTTTATATATTTAACTTTTATTTATTAATTGTTACTCTACTTATCTTTTATAAATATATAGGGGGTCTTCAATTGAGAACCCATAAAATTGTGATAACCTTGAAAAAGATGCACCATGTGCTATTTCACATATTTTTCCCATCTACTGCTTGGATTTAGTATATTGATTACCATACATTTGTTTCACAACATGAACATTTTTTGTGTTTGTGAAACAAACAATACAACTAAAAAGTTTCACATTGTGAACCGACTACATATGAAACATATACACTGTGAAACAAATATATGTTAATCAATATATTAATTCTAGCCTTAGATGGGAAAAATCATGTGAAACGATACCTTACAATAATAGTTCTCACAGTTACCACAATATATGGGGTTCTCAAATGATTAAGTCCCTCTCTCTCTCTCTCTCTATATATATATATATATATATATATATATATATATATAGCTTACGCCTCGGACCGTCTTGAGGCTTACATCTCACGTACCTAAGAGGAAAATGCCTCGAGGCTAGTTTCCGTTTTCTAAAACCCTTAAACGACACTCTAGGGACAACCCGGTCATGTTAACATTTTGTCTCGTCTTGTACCATCTTACCAAACACTATATAGACAACTAGTTCCGTCCTGTCCAATCCATGTACCAAACGCAGCCACAAGGTACAAAGAGAGGAAACCAACTAATTACATATTCTACTTCCTTATTCTAGCATTGGCAACTATCATATCCTGAAAAATATTTCCAAATCATCTCAGTTTTTAACAGCCCCAACTCTTCTGATAAGTGCCTTACCTAAATAAGTTCACAGGCAGTTATGTGTCATGGTTTGATACTAGAACCAACAGTGATTGTTTCTATTCCAGGATATAAGTTTTCTGTCAAAATAAGCACTTGTAGTTGCTCTTTTAATGTATGGACACTTTGTATGGCTCACATTAGATCAACCAACAATCTGAACTTCCTAGCATAGAGAAGGTCTTTTCTTGGTCCACGTTTGAGATATCTTAGGATATCAACCAATCAAGTTGACGTAGAGGCCACATATGAGTGGCTTCATAAGCAATAGGACAGAACTGAGCTTAGCAACAACGCCAAATGTCTCCTCATAATCCTCACCCATATACTTGGGAGTAGCCTATAAGCATTATATGGACCTTGAGACAAGCAAAAGAGTATTTTGGATCGAGTCCGACAACAAGACTTATTTACATTAAATGGATATCCTTCCCTGTTTGAGGATCAACAAGAGTCTCCGATGTACCTTGTCCCGGTTCAGGATGAGCTAGCGTCTCTGATATATAATTCGAAGAATAATACAACTATTTACAGCTAGAAATAAAAGCATAATGACTCAAGGAAAGATGAGACTAAGTAATAATGAAACTGAACCTATCAATCAATTGGCTTACCAACATATACAACGTCGGTACTCTATGAGTCATATTGGGTTATGTACGAGGTCCCTGTAAACAAGGATCATCATTTTCCTGTGATGTAGAGGCATTTGTTCTTTGTCAAGGCTAGGATGCTTCTTTCTTTGTTCTTTGCTGAAAGACTTTAAGAACGTTCCAAGGATTTGCAGTAGAGGAGTCACCAGGGGCAGTGCTATAAAGTTGTACCAAGACTTTGAGATGCTAAAAGACGAATGGTATGAGTTTGTTGAGTTCTGGGACCAGGAATAAAAACAAGGGTGAGATTTGAAACAAAGTATTGCCAGAGGATGGATATATAGAGACGTTGCCCCCAAGGGTCCCAAAAAACTTTATCTTTTTTCCCTAGCATCTTGTTTCATATGTTAGTCCTGAAATCATGTGTGTACATGATGCAGAATCAAATATTTTTAGACTAATAATTTGTGTGTATTAAAGGGTATTATCTGTGTAATACTTTGGAGTGTGTATAATTAATTAGATAGTAGGCTATAAGAACCACATTACTGCGGAATTTATGGGTGTGCTGATAGCGTCTAAAATGTTGCTATGTTTTTTGTTTGACGAACCTATTTTGTTGTAAAGTGTAAATACATGAACTTACGGACCTTGTAAATTCATTTGTGAAATACTTTCATGTTATTACCATGAAAGATTTTACGCTTTCACTAGTGTGACTTGTAATACACAAATTTTTACATAAACAAAGAAAATTCCAGCACGTGCCAGTAAATAAATATAAGTAACTTGTGAATGATTATCAACCAGTGCTATAAGATATTTAAAACCATGAACAGTTTTATTGACAAACCCCAAACATCATATTGGATAATCTAAAAAATGGAACTAGACATTAGGTGGTGAGATGTACCCAATTGACACTACCTGTACAACAAACTAGAAGAAAATGATTCCCAGTTAGAGTTCCTTTACGAGTCAAGAGAGGAATGACCCATCCAAACTATTCAGCATATGACACTAGTGGCCTACCTCAATTGTCCGAGAATTTCCAAGTTCTTAAGTTAAAAGACACGATGTTCGGAAAGGTTACAGAACAGTTTTGAGTCCTTGGGTTGTTTTGCTTAAGGATAATAAACTATCTTGATAAGTGGCATGCAAGGGACATTAGAGACAAGAAGGTCGGGGTAGAGATCGACGTTATTGGTGTCTCCTATCGGGATATTGGAACCATTGGTTACTTTGGAGGATAAGAAGAGGGAATGAATATCTTTATTAGTTACTTAACTATGAAAAGATGTATGAACAACCTCTTATTGAGAGACACAAAGAGTTCTTTTTTATATCAAATGCAGTTCCTCTTCACTGTGAAGTCGAGACCATATGTGCACCACTGATGGGACCATGCTGTAGCTCTGTAAAAAACTACAAATTATTTTCTTGTGACCAAGCGGATGTCAATGGTGAAATCCAATGCTAGACAAATATTCTCTGTTGGATCCTCTACCCTAACAGTGCTGACATCTCGACCTTCACTAGAACCTCAAGCATGAACTTTGCCTCTGCAAGAACTAGCTATGGTGGATTACTCTTGTAAAACACCCGAGAATTGAGAGTCTGGCAACATTACCTGCAAAAGAGATGGTTGTTCTTTTCTCATTAGTTAGGTGTAGTCCACTCCTTTTAATCCATCTTTGTCCCATCGAGGAAAATCATCTGCATGCTCCTAGTCCATCAAACCCCTGTTAAGATTCCTATTGATCATTTCTTGTAATTTGCTTTGATATCATGATGTTCTGACTTTCTCTTAGAAATACATGATCCTATTTGGAATCCCACTACAAAAAGATGAGAAATAAAATAATAATAATAATTGTATGAAGTAGAATGTTGTCAGTTTTGAGTGAATGAATAATAATGATGATTAGTTGTGTGTAGGATGAGATGGACAGAAAGATTCAAGAACTTAACAAGGAGGTGGAATGTGCTAAGCGCAAGTGTGAAGTTTATAGGAGCAACCTGGTTTCAGTTTTAAAAGACATTGAAGATCATAAACAGCAGCTATCACTTAAAGTTCAGATCATAAGGTATAGCATGAAAGATTGTTTGTAAAGGTGATGGATGATTCAACATATATGTATAGTGGATTTTCCTTCCCTCCTTTCTAATGACTGTAAAAAACAAGGTACTGATAGTTGAGGCTTCCCATGGTTTTCATGTTAATAATTTTGAATTTAATGCTTTTCATGTTAATAATTTTGAATTTAGTTTCATGGGTATATATTATATTGTATTATATCTTTTCTTCAACCATTATGGTTTAGCATTAAAGAGTAATATAGTTAAGCTGATTTTTTGAAGTTTTCTTTTTCAAGATTTACAGACTAGTACAATATGGGTACGTGGATAACCATAACCTGTTCGTAAAAGAATTTGCTAACCACATTCCGGGAAATTTTAGTGGGAAATAACTCTTGGTTCATAACTTGGCCCGAGACAATTTTTTTATGTAGCTTATTTAATTAAAAACTATTGATAGGTAATTTAGATTTTTTAATTAAAATAAATATGTAGGTTTGCAAAATTTGATTCATTTATATGAAAACTGTAGTATGAGTACAAAAACCCTTCATCCTTGGACTATTATTGTTTATAAAGGACAGATTGGGATGTTACAAAAATTAAAAGATTTTATATGTATTATTGATTTGTCTCCACATCCGGTCCTAATTTAGCCTCCGGGCTTCTCGGGCTTCTCGGACTTCTCTCTTCCACCACCATTTTTCTCACTTTCTCTCAATCCCGCTCTGAAATTCGTTTGTGTCAAAATGGGTTATTTTGGCATTTGTGGGCTATTCGGTAAACCGATCATAAATCAGGGGAATGTATGTTTATCCGCTTATTCATCATATCTCCATTTCTTTTTGTTTTTCTTTTTATTAAATTAAATTACACATTTCGTCCTTCTGCTTTTATATTGGTTAAAGAAAATTTATAACTTTCATTTTTTGTCAATTATCTTAAAAAACTTGTTAAGTCATAGGCATTTTGGACATTTTGCTTGTTTCAATTAATTTTTTTTTTATTTTAGATGCATTTTACAAGTCTATAAAGCATTTCATGATAAAACCAAAACAAAAAAACATCCACACCCAATCTCTTACAACTACCTACTTTGTCTGATCATCTTCTCCACTCTCTCTTTTCTCTGACCAACACAACATGAAGAACACACTAGAATACACCTATGCCTCCGGATGTGGCTGTGAGACAACTGTTCAATGCTGGCATTGTGCCAGACACTAAAAAAAATCTAAAATATAAATTACATGAATAACCATAGCAAAACATCTCATAATCCTTACTTTTTAACCTAACTTTTAGCAATATGTTCATCAATAATTGTATCCAATGCATGAAGAATTACATTAAAGATTCTCACAGGACTTCTTGCAATACGTTAACAAAGAATCATATAAATTATCAAAACATGAACAATATCTCATTACACATATATGAACGTTCTTTGCTGAAACACATGCAACTCAATATTAAAAACAACACATGAATTCACTAGGTAGTATTGGCTATTAATGAGTCGAGTCAAGTAACAAGTTGTTTGATCTAGGCTCGAAATAATAATATCAAGCTCGAGCTCAAACATTTTTTTCAATGTTTGAGCATGAGTTCAATACAAAATAATTTAACAAATCTATTACAATCCCAAGTTTGGTTTGTTGAATTGTCCGGATTTAAAATTTTAGGATTTAATTGAAACCCTACAAACATAGGATTTTGAAATCCTTAGGGGGTGCTCGGGATTTCGTAGAATTATTTTCCTACAAAATCACAATTAGTATGCGGATTATTTTACTTAACTTACACTAAATATGCATCCTAACACGTTCTTAGTTGATTTGAACTGATACAAACTACACTTCATGAAAACTGTAGGTAAATTGCATAAAAATATAACATAATTCAATTTGATTCATATTTTCTTTAACATACTTTTAAAACTTTCATTTTAATACATCAGATATGACCTTTCAAATATATAAGTAATTGATTTGCTTTAAGTTACTAGAATTCATGAAAAATACAACATACTAGTTGCCTTCAATCCCACAACTAGCTAGACTATCATCTTGGATAATGAAACCTCATCAAGTACTATTGTATCATTTGACTATAATAAACGAAGTTATATATTTTTTACAAAATCATCATTGGTCTATTGATTAGTTCTTTACTTTTATAATAAGATCATGTATTCGAGTCTTTTATCTCAAAAATTTCAGAAACACAATAAATTGAAATTAAAAGTTAAAAACTAAGATGATGATACAAATGAGATTCAAATCTATGACTGAAAGGGGAGAAAAGACCATACAAACCAATTCTACCAAGATAAACTTGCTTTTTATTGTAGTTTCAAATAATATTTGGTTGCACCCAACAAAATAATTCTACGAAATCCCGAGCACCCCCTAAAGGATTTCAAAATCCTATGTTTGTAGGGTTTCAATTAAATCCTAGAATTTCAAATCCGGACAATTCAACAAACCAATCTTGGGATTGTTATAGATTTGTTAAGGGAAAAGTCCAATAAAAACCAATGAACTTTATTGTTTTGATTGATTAAGTCATTGGACAATTTTTTGGAAGAAATAAGTCATTGGACTTTTGAAAATTTGTTAAATAAATCCTTAAACTTTCTTAAATCTGTTAAATAGGTCCTCATTCTTTAAAAATGTAACTTGTAACCTGGTTAGCAGGTAAACCAAACAAATTAAAAAAAGGGAAAAGTCTAAAAAAACCCAATGGACTTTAGCTTTATGTTCCTAAAAAGCTATGATGTTCCCATACTATGGAAAAGATGATCATATGTAAAATAAAAAATGATTCACCACCAGATAAAAGTTTGCATTAAAGCCATAAGTTATGTCCTGCTCATTGAGAGTTTCTCTCTTCTTTGAATAATTGAAGAGAAGAAAAAGTCGAAAGATTCGGCCAGTTGACGATGTTGAGAGACTCTAGAGTGAAATCGCAACAACTTTCAAAAACTTCAAATACTCGTGTCACTCAAGCCAAAAACAGTAGAGTTTCAAGTAGACAACCTGACATCAAAAGGGAAAAACAAGAACTGCATTTGGAGACTTCAGGTTCATCACATGAGGCTGGAATGAAGAATTGGGAAGAAAATCCTACAGAAGTTAGTGGTCAACTCGAAATCAAAGTGTTTATGTCAATGAAAACGCACCCTAAAAGATAAAATGAGAAGAAACTTTTGAAATCAAACTGAGAAATCAAAAAATTGTTGGAACCGAACCTGAGAAATCAAAAAATTGTTGGAACCGAACCTTAGAAATCAAAAAATTGTTGGAACCGAACCTGAGAAATCAAAAATTACGGGAACCAGATGCTGCGGCGGCGACGGACGCGGTGGTGGTGCGACGACGGCTGGTGGTGCGGCGACGATGGACGGTGGTGCGGCAGTGATCGGAGGTGTTGTGGTGAGGAATGGTGTAGGCAGGCAAAATTGAGTGAGGGAGAGGGGAGGATGGAAGCGACGATCTTTAGATAGTTTTAGGGTTTTTTTTAATTTGTTTGGTTTACCTGCTAACCATGTTACAAGTTATATTTTTAAAGAATGATGACCTATTTAACAGGTTTAAGAAAGTTTAAGGATTTATTTAACAAATTTTTAAAAGTCCAATGACTTATTTGTTCTAAAAAATTGTCCAAAGACTTAATCAATCAAAACAATAAAGTCCATTGGTTTTTATTGGACTTTTCCCATTTGTTAAATTACTTTGTATTGAATTCATGCTCAAACATTGAAAAAAATGTTCGAGCTTGATATTATTTTTTCGAGCCCAGATCAAACAACTTGTTACTTGACTCGACTCATTAATGCCCAATACTACCAAGTGAATTCATGTGTTGTTTTTAATATTGAGTTGCATGTGTTTCAACAAAGAACATTCATTATATGTGTGGTGAGATATTGTTCATGTTTTAATAATTTATATGATTCTTTGTGAACATATTGCAAGAAGTCCTGTGAGAATCTTTAATGTAATTCTTCATGCATTGGATACGATTATTAATGAACATATTGCTAAAAGTTTGGTTAAAAAAGAAGGATTATGAGATGTTTTGCTATGGTTATTCATGTAATTTATATTTTAAATTTTTTTAGTGTCTGGCACAACACCATCATTGGACAGTTGTCCCGCAACTGCATTCGGAGGTGTAGTTGTATTCTAGTGTGTTCTTCACATTGTGTTGGTCAGAGAAAAGAGAGAGTGGAGAAGATGATCAGACAAAGTAGGTAGTTATAAGAGATTGGGTGTGGATGTTTTTTGCTTTAGTTTTATCATAAAATGCTTTATAGACTTGTAAAATGCATCTATAATAAAAAAAAATTAATTGAAACAAGCAAAATGTCCAAAATGCCTATGACTTAACAAAATTTTCAAGATAATGGACAAAAAATGAAAGTCATAAATTTTCTTTAACCAATATAAAAGCAGAGGGACAAAATTTGTAATTTAATTTAATAAAAAAAAGAAAAAGAAAAAGAAAAAGAAAAAGAAAAAGAAATGGGGACATGATGAATAAGCGGATAAACATACATTCCATTGATTTATAATCGGTTTACCGAATAGCCCGCAAATGCCAAAAAAATCCATTTTGACACAAACGAATTTCAGAGAGGGATTGAGAGATTGTGAGAAAAATGGTGGTGGAAGAGGGAAGTCCGAGAAGCCCAGAGGCTAAATTAGGGCTGGAAGTGGAAGACCTATGGGACGTACAAGAGCCCCAACTATCTCCAACCGAGAAGCTTAATGCTTGTTTCGAAAGCATTCCTGTTTCACAGTTTCCACAAGCTTCCTCTTCCCAAGGTATTCAAAACATTACAGCTTGTTATATATATATATATATATATATATATACATATACATATATATACATACATACATATATATACATATATATATATATATATGATTTGGTTTACTGATTCAAGTATGTCAATATCCATCGATTTAGTGCAGTAATCGAGATCAAGTCGGATGCCAGTCTAGGTGAAGCTGTTCGGTTGCTATCTCAAAATAAAATTCTAAGTGCACCTGTTGTGGACGTTGATGCACCCGAGGATTCTAGTTGGATGGACAGATATCTCGGGATCGTGGAGTTTGCAGGCATTGTTGTTTGGATTCTGCATCAGGTTCTCACACTCCTTCCCTTCAATTCAATTACACCAATATAGATTTGGTTCGGGTAATAGTTCATTGAAAATGGTTGTCTACCAAGCTTAAGCTTATAAGCTTGTATTGACCTGGTAAGTGAAATAATAATGTAAAATCAGTATTTAGATAAATTAGCTGATATTGATAGGATTTTATCTGTGCAGTCAGAAAAGAATAGTGGCATAGATGCTGCAGACGTATTTGCTAGAGCGTTACAAGAAACCACGGGACCTGCAGTTGCAGCAGCAGCAAGCGGGATGTCTTCCCCGAGATATCGGAGCTCACAACCTGGTTCTCCTAAAACCGCTGGCAACTTTTTTGAGCTATTGACTTCTTCTGATTTCTATAAAAACACAAAGGTTAAAGACATCTCGGGATCATTTCGCTGGGCACCATTTCTTGCTTTGCAACCATCCAACTCCTTTCTGACCATGCTTTTACTGCTATCAAAGTATAGAATGAAGAGTATTCCAGTGGTTGATTTAGGGGAGAGGAAGATCGACAACATTATCACCCAATCTGCAGTATTCCATATGTTGGAGGAATGTGCAGATCTCCAATGGTTCAAAAGYTGGGGATCTAAGAAAMTATACGAACTTGGTCTTCCTCTTATGAAATCTAATCGGGTTATYAAGGTCGGTCTRMAACYCTCYAAGACACTCTTGTAAYCTTTCACATAGATRTCATGTCTAATRTCYTGTTTGTTTCTTGATTTTYAGGTAGACGAGGATGAACCAGTTCTGCAGGCGTTTAGAATGATGCAAGAGAAGGGAGTTGGCGGGGTGCCGGTGGTTGCTAGCGGTAGAAACAAGATGATTGGTAACATAAGCATCAGGGATATTCAATTTCTCCTAATTGCCCCCGAGATTTACAAAGATTATAGGTTTGTCACATATACCGACCTCCTAGGCATTCTGGTGGGCCGTTTGGTACGTAAGTAGGACAAGACAGTACAAAAACTTGTTCATCCACGTTTGGCGCATCATTAGACTTGGACATAAGTCAAGGGGATAGGACAAGATTGATAAATTACTAAATTACCCATGTCAAATTAAAACCCTAAAACATTCCACAATTTTTTCACTCATTCTCACCCGTCCAATCTTGTCCTGTCCAGTCCCATATGCATACCAAACTTATTACATTTGTGGAACCTTTTTGAATCTCTCTCTAAAGGAGCCCTTATTGAGAGGGAATGTTCCTATATATATCTATCCTAGTTTTGATGGTTCGTATCTAGCTGAACAACTCCTGGTTTAGTTATTGTTTAAAGTGTTAATGAGAATCTTATTAACATAATGTAACGATGTTGGGGTTTAATTATACTGCAGATCTATCACGACTAAGAACTTTGTAACAGCAGTTAAAAACTACTTGAAGGAGAATGAGAAGGCATTACCTGTGATGAGTGGCATGATTACATGCAGAAAAGAGGACACACTTAAAGATGTGATTATGAAGCTTGATTCGATGAAGGGTCATCGTATATACGTGGTTGATGAACAAGGTAACCTTGAAGGATTGATAACGCTGAGAGATATCATATCTAGGTTAGTGCATGAGCCTAGAGGATATTTTGGGGATTTCTTTGATGGTGTTTTGCCCTTGCCTCAAAACTCTAGGGTTTAGAAACAAATGTCCTTTGTAACAAGGGTATTTTTGTCATCAAGAGTCTCCAATTAATTTGCAACTTTTATGTATTTGAATGAATGAAGATGTATAATTTAATCATGGAGGTGGATTCTTGTATGTCGAAAGTCTGGAGAACATAAAACTGTATACACATTTTACAACCTGATGAATGCTACAAAACTTTATGCCATTTTGGATGCATGAGGTCACTAAGAACCAAACCAAACAACTCAGACCTCAATATATCTCACTTGGAGGTGAGTGAGGTTTGGGATGGTAAGATGCTGACAGACGTGACCTATACCCAAAAAGTACGACTGTTTTCAAGAAAACTCCCAGACTTGTGAAGAGTGTGAAAAAGAGAGTCAGAAATAGTAATGATTTGAAAAGGAACCTAAGATACTTCATTGAACTTGAAAAAAAAATTCTACTCGTTTGTATCGCATTTTTAGACATCTAGAAAATCACACATAAGAAGATGCTCAAACTAGATTCAATTCTTGGACTGTCCATTAGGTATCTTAATCACTTCGACATGCCTAATTGAGCTTCCGTTCGTCTATATCCCTCCACAACACAACTCTAAAATTCATTTCCCTTCAAATCAAGAAGCAAAAGACGATGACAGCCAAGAGCGACAAAAAAATTGGTTCCTAATACTCACTAGAGACATATTTGGCCACACAGAGATCTTCAAAGATAAAAGGCTGTTTGAATGAAATTTTGTTCATTAATTTGTTCGTTTAGCATATGTTTTCAATTAATTAAGTAGCTAATACTTGCTTTTCTAATAAGATGTTGGTGGGCATGGTGCATTTCCAGTGGAGAAGACAGGAATCAGCTTTGGATATGTTAGATGACTGAAACACATCCTATAAAAGAAAAGAATTTTGAAATGATTATTAGAAAGGGGACCTCTTTTAAACAGTAGAACAATCTTACAACTATGCATATCCAACTGCATGGCCTCCTAGTCCAATTTTGGTAAGAATATGATTTCATCCATAGACGGTTGTTTGTAATAATAGTTTTCCTTCACTCAAGCGCCCCCTTGCATCCCCGAGTGTATCACTAGTTTCACGAATTGTATGATAAAATCCTAACAAATATGCAATTTGTAGTAGATACCAGAAATTCCCAAGTTCAAACAAGTGTCCATCATGAACATGAAGTCATGATTGTTGACTTACGCAACTTGTAGATACTAGAAATTCCCAATATCAAACAAAAACCCATCAAGTCATGGTTCAGGAGAACTCAAATATGATAAGAAAAGCTCTAGAAATTTTAAAAAACCAAGCATGATGAATGCACCAAGTTACTGGCAATATTTGTTTGCTAAAGATAACAAGAGATGAACAATGGTATATAGGACGCACCTAGGTGCCAATAACATGGAGGTCAAGCTCCTTTCCCTTCGCTGTTAAAAGACGAACCCAACAACAAACACCAAGACCAAATATATCATACCAGAATCTCAGTGCAACAACTGATGCATTCATAATGACCAGCAAGGAGCAAAACTCTGAAAAAGGAGAGGAGAAGAAAGAAGAAGGAGGGGGGGGGGGGGGGGGGAAGACCCAACCACAAGGGAAGATTCCAGACAAGCTTAACACATACAATGTTAGGGGAAGGCTTCATGGTAAGGCCAATCAGCCTGGACCGGACATCACCATATTAGAGGATCTTCTCTTATTATTGAAGATGCGATTATTCCTTTCCTGCAGAGATAGTAGATGATTCCAACAAGCACTAAACGTCTAATGATAGACCAAATGGTCTTGCCTCTGGTGGCTTGCTGGAACATACTGATGATATTAGTCCAGTTATACGGAATAACAGGGAGGTTTAGCTTGGGCTTAAGGCCATTCCAAACCTAATTAAGAAATGGGTACTCAAAGAATAGATACTGATGAGAATCAGGTCCGTTAAGACAAGCACAAGATAGGTTAGAAAAGGCCTCCTAGAAACGAAGCTTATCTTGCGTTTTCAGACGCTTCTTGAAGGTAACCCAAAGAACGAAAGCATGTCTTGGAATGTTTTGAGAGAACCAGAACATGTGATGCCACTCGACATCTGGCTCATTGGGTGGATGGAGAGCCAGACCTCATGGACAGAGAAAGAAGTGAGACGACCATCCCTTTTTATCCAAAGGAGTTTATCAGGGACAAAAGGGGAAAGGATAGGAGGGGAAGAATCACGAAAAAGGGGATTGGGACTGCCCTACAGGTGTGGGCAAGTCCAGTTTCCTTGACAGATAATGTCCTTAAAGTAGGCATTATGGGAGAGGTTAGCGCTGAGGATATTTCAGGGAGAGATATGCCGGCAGAGGGCCTCAGCAGGGTGCCAGTTATCATACCAGGAATATGTGGAAGAGCCATCACCAATCTCGGAGACGATAGAGTCTCATATCTTATCCCGCATGCCCAGGATCTTTCTCCAACCCCAACCAACATCGCTGCGGATCGGGGCATCCCAAAAATTTCGGTTTTTAAGCCTAAAGGAGTGGATCTATTTAACCCATAGAGAGTCCTTATTGGTAAGGATTCTCCAAGCGTGGGAGGCCATAAGGGCAAGATTCCGGCTAGTTAGGCTTTTAATATCAAGTCCTCCTTGAGATTTTGGAAGGCAAAAGGTCTTCCAGGAGACCTTTGCTTTCCGTCTTTTAAGCTTACCATGGCACCACAGGAAGCCCCGCATAGGCTGCTCAATCTCCTTAGAAATGGAAACAGAGAGAACAAAGATCGAGGCCCAGTAGATTTGCATGGAGAACAGGACCGTGAGAATGAGCTGCAACCTACCGGCAAAGGAGAAAGACTTGTTTTTCCAGTCATTTAATCTGGATTTAACTCTGTCGACGAGACCCTTACAGTCATTGTGATAAAAATGAGTCATGATAAGGGGGACACCTAGATAAAAGAGCGGAAGGGAGCCCTCTCGGAACTGAATGATAGAATGAATGGTACTCTTTCTGTGCTGGCCGACATTACAATAGAAGGCCTCACTTTTAGCTGGACTAGGGAACAGGCCAGACACTCCAAAGAACTCATCAAGAGAATCCTTTATGATATAGACATAATCACTATCATCATGGCAGAAAATGAAGAGATCATCAGCAAAGCAAATGTGGGTGATCTTCAACTTCTCACAATTCTAGTGATAGGAAAAGGTGCCTGTCTCACTGATTTTTCTTTTGGTCAGGAGGTTAAGAACTTCCATGACCAGAGTGAAGAGATAGGGGGAAGGGGGTCACCCTGCCTCAGGCCATGTCCTCCATTGAAATAACCATGAAGGTTTCTATTAATACTGACAAAATAAGAAGCAACATAAACACATGTCATAATCCAAATTATCATGGTAAGGGGGAAACCATACCCGAAAAGGGTGGTACAGAGGAAATGCCAATCGACAGTATCATAAGCCTTTTGAATGTCAACTTTGAAGGCACAACGAGGGGTGCCCCGTTGCTTATGATAGCCGCGCATGAGCTCCTGGATGAGAAGAATATTGTCCATAATGAGCCGACCCAGGATAAAAGTAGACTGGTTAAAATCAACTAGAGAGGGAAAATGATCTTGCTAATGATTTTATACAAGATATTGCAACAAGCAACGGGGCGGAAATCGGTGACTCGAGAAGGGGCGGCTGACTTAGGGATGATATCAAGAATAGTGTTGTTTATGGAATTTAAGAGCTTACTGAATGTGAAGAACTAATGAACGGCAGAGCATAGGTCCTTACCAACAATATCCCAAGCGGGCTTGAAGAATTTAGCGGTGAAACCATCAGGCCCAGAAGCCTTGTCGTCTCCCATCTGGAAAATGGCCTTCTTGATCTCAGATTCAATGAGAGGGGCGAGCATCATGGCAGCTTGACCGACATTAAGCTTATTTGAAAAAAGAAAAGCAGGATCACGAATGGGAAGAGAGAGATGAGAGGTGCCAAGAAAGTTTTGAAAGTGAGAGATGAAGAGACTGGGAACCTTAGTAGAAACCCAGAGACCGTCAACATTTTGGATGGTATCAATTTGATTCCGGCTGATATGACTCTTGACAGATTTATGGAAAAAGGAAGAATTTTTGTCTCCCTCACGGAGCCAATAGAATTTGGATTTTTTCTTCAGGAACCGCTCCTCATCGAGGGAGGCACCATTATAGGCACATAAATACCCACAGTGCTCCTCTCAGATGGCCATATTTTTAGGGTCCCTATCAACAGCAATCTGGGCCCTGTCAAGCTCAAGCTGAATTTTAGACACTAAAGAGAACAGATTACCCTGATCATGAAGAAGCTTATAGATAGGGCCTTTGAGATTTTTATGATTTAGGGAAATCTTATAGATCCCATGATCAGACAGATTAGGGCTCCAACTCGAAACAACGACATTTTTGAAAGACTCTTTATGAGTAAGGAAGTTAGGAAATTTGAAAGGTTTAGGTTTACGAGAGATACGGGAAGGGGGAGCAAGTACTGCAGGGCTATGGTCCGAAGACCAATAGGGGAGAAAGATGACAGATGCAAAAGGAAAGTGAGCAAGGGAATGGAAATTACCCATGACATGGTCAATCTTTTTAAGGAGACCTCCCATTCCATTAGGGTTCTTGGACTAGGTGAAGAAAAGACCTTTGAAGTTAATATCCCCTGAACCTCAATGTGGCGGGTACACTCACGAAAATCATCCATACCACGAGAGCAGCCTACCATACCAGATGAGTTGTCTTTCGAGTCAAGGGAAGCATTGAAATCTCCCATGATGAACCATGGGGTGTCCTTGATGACATGCTTATGACCTTTAAGAGAAGCCCATAACTGGCGACAGGTGATATGGTAATTATCTGCATAGACAACAGAGAGGAAAAGACTCTTAGGTGGCGTTTGGTTCGCAAAATATTTTTGGATGGAATGGAATCTGTTAAAGGAATTTGACTTTGAAGGAATTTGAATGGAATGTTGTCAGGTTTGACCATATGTTTGGTTGGCAAACATTGGAATGGAAT